AACCAGTAATTTTTTTCAAACGTTGTAAAGCCCAAGCATCCAACTCTTGGGAGGGCAGTTTTAGGCTCCTGTTAGAATCTTTTGTACTCTTTAAAAATTGTTATTATTAAATCAGAATGAATATTAATATCCATATTATAAAGGAATGTATTTCTATTAGAAATGTAAATAGTACAGATAAAAGGAGAGTTAACTTTGGTAAACCCTCTGCTCAGCCCTACTCCTGTTCTCAAAGATAATCATTATTTTAGGAGATATGTATACTTTTAATCCTTTTTATGTATGTATGTATATATCTACATACAGAAGGTGATACTAACCATATTATTCTTTTAGATCTTTCCATGTCTGTATAAGCTGTTGCATAATAAATATGTCATTCTATGGGTGTACCATAGTTTGTTTTCTTATTAATAGGCAGTGTTTAGCTTTTATGAAAGGTGTTACAGTATACCTTATATATTCCTCTTTGAATATGTACTAAAATTTCAAGTTTTTCCTTTAGGTTAGTTACCTAGAAATAGAATTGTCTGGTAAAAGAGTCATTGCACTTAAAGTATTAAGAACAATAAAGTGAAACAGTTGTGGACAACACAGAATTGGATACTTTTCATTTGGTCAGGAAAGAGCCTAAAAAAAATGCCATATATTGTCGCTGTCATTTCATAAAAGGATATTTTAACAGCTGAATATATTTAGTTTCAGAGCTTCCCAGGTGGCACAGTAGTAAAGAATCTGCCTGCCAATGCAGGAGATGCAAGAGACACAGGTTTGATTCCTGGGTTGGGAAGGTTCCCTGGAGTAGGAAATGGCAACCTGCTCCTATATTTTTGTAGAAAATCAGAGGAGCGTGGCGGGCTACAGTCCATGAGGTCACAGAGAGTCAGACACAATCGAGAACGCATGCACATGTGTAGCTTCATGAAAATCTCACTGTTGTCATTACTTTTCTCGTTTTAACATAGACTATTGAATTTTCATGTAGACCAGCTTGGGTTGGGGTGGAAACTTGAGAACACTATTGTAGTTTATTATTTTGCATCCAAACAGGTCAATCCAAGGGAGTTACTCCTGCGATTTTTTTTTTTTTTTTTTAATATCCTTAGTACTGAGCCATTCTCATGGTTGAGAAATTAGGTCCTATGTCCTTTCTTCAGTGTGGTCCCATAAGTGGGAGCCATATGTTATTTTGTAATCTGCCACAGGAGTGTACATTTGATCCCCAAAACTAGATCACCCGGGCTTTCTAGGTGGTTCAGTGGTAAAGAATCCACCTGCCAAGGCAGGAGTTGGAGATGCAGGTTCGATCCGTGGGTCAGGAAGATCCCCTGGAGAGGGAAATGGCAACCCACTCAAGTATTCTTGCCTGGAAAATCCCATGGACAGAGGAGCCTGGTGCACCACAGTCCATGGGGTCATAGAGTCAGATGTGACTTAGCAACTGAGTATGCATGCACTAGATCATCCAGACTCAGGCAGTGCTGAATACGGAGCTAAAAGCTATGGTTCTGGGCCAGAGGATTTGTATTTGGATCCACACTGTCCTTTTGACATCATAGGCATGCTTTTTAATCTGTCCAAACCCCATTTTCCTGATCTTTAAATGGTTATAGGAATAGTACATATCTCATAAGTTACTTGCAAGGATTAAATGTATTAATACATATAAAACACTTAGCATAGTTTCTGACTCTTAGAAAGAGTTCAGTGTTGGTTGTGATCATAACATGATCATCAGTGTATTTAGTGAGTGAAGTTGCTCAGTTGTGTCTGACTCTTTGTGACCCCATGGACTGTGGCCTACCAGGGTCCTCCATCCATGGGATTTTCCAGGCAAGAATACTGGAGTAGGTTGCCATTTCCTTCTCCAGGAGATCTTCCCAACCCAGGGATTGAACCTGGGTCTCCCACATTGTAGGCAGACACTTTACCGTCTGAGCCACCAGTGTATTTAGCCTTTCCATTAATAGTTATTGACTGCTTATATGTCAAACAGCATACTTTGTGCTTAGATTGGGAAGATTGAACAGTCTCTGTCCTTTAGAAAGCTGGAGTGTAAATTGGAGAGTTTGACACTTAAACAACTATCTGTAATATCTATTAAAGTGCATTGGTGACAAGATTGATGACTTGAGAAAGAGTGGAAGAGGGGATGGCAAAAGGAAAACAGTAGAAGCAAAGAAAATGCCCCTAAGTTACATCGTGCATTTGTGGTCTAGATTACTGTAGACTGATGCAGTGGAGTTTTAAGAGCAAGGGTGGATGGGAGATAATATTGGATGAAGCACAGCATTTGTAAGTGTACAGTTGTGTTTTGAGTATCAGCAACCCTTAGCCTATGGAAGAAGTCAAGAAGATGAGAGCTGCAATTTTAGGATTTATGTGAAAATCTGGAGAAAATACAAGAGAATAGAATGTTGAGTTCTAGTATTGCTTGGAAAGCTGGTCAGAGGTGATCTCTAGTGTCCTTGAGAATGCTTTGAATTATCTGAGTGTGCATTTCTAGCATTAGTATATAAAACAAGGTCCTTTTCAAAGGAATACTCTCCTTAGGACAACTCTCATTGCTGTCTTATCCAAAGGAGTTATAGTATTCTCATGGATTCTAATTGGGTGGGGGATGAGAAGACCTGTGAGATTAAGAGGTCAAATGGTTTACAGAATCTTCCCCTATCAAAGTTGTCCACAGCCTAAAAATGTCTGAAATTGGGTATGAGCAAATACTCCTGACACTTCAAATCAACTTTGCTGAGAGTGTGCATTTCTCAGAAGGAAGTCGATCCCCCAAGGCTAGGCCAGGATGTTTTACCTAGGAGACAAATGGTATACTGAACTATAAGACTCATGAAACCCTTGCCTATTTCAGACGCTGACTGGAAAGGAGATCGAGATTGACATTGAACCCACGGACAAGGTAACGTATGCCCAGTGCCTCTCCGTGCGTATCTCACGTACCTTTGCCTGGGTATGCTGATGAAATTAGTCCATTTGCTCTCATGCTATCTGCATAGCTCTTGTTCTTTCCACTTCCATGGTCCCTCCCCCTGAGCAGCCCCTGACTACTTGTACCCCTAAAGGTGGAACGAATCAAGGAGCGTGTGGAGGAGAAAGAGGGAATTCCACCACAGCAGCAGCGGCTCATCTACAGTGGTAAACAGATGTAAGTATGGAATGGAAATGAAGGTATAGTGATGGTTTTTTGTGTTTTTATTTTGGCTCTGCTAGGTCTTTGCTGTGCTGGCTTTGCTCTAGTTGAAGTGCGTGGGATTCTCAGTGCAGTGACCTCTCTTGTTGCAGAGCACCAGCTACAGGGTGTGTGGGCTTCAATAGTTTCAACTCCCGGGATCTAGAGCCCAGGCTCACCAGTTGTGGTACATGGGATTAGTTGCTTCTCAGCATGTGGGATCTTTCCACATCAGGGATTAAACCTCTGTCTCCTGCATTGGCAGGTTGATTCTTTACCACTGAGCCACCAGGGAAGTCTGGAAATAGCTCTAATTTCTCTTGTTAACAGGTTACCCATATTGCTAATACCCCTGTGGGCTTTTGTGGGCTTTTGTCTGTGTTCAAAATTGAAAGAAATATCAATTTACAGTTGGGGGTTAGTAAAAATATAAAGATGTAATTTTTTTTCTCATATGCATTCATAGATCTCCAGAGATCCATGAAACCCGGGTTAAGAACCCCACTCTAAATGGTATTTCTAATAACTTTTCTTTTCTTTTTTGCCTCTTCCTGTAGGAATGATGAGAAGACAGCAGCTGATTACAAGATATTAGGCGGTTCAGTCCTCCATCTGGTGTTGGCTCTGAGAGGAGGAGGTGGTCTTAGGCAGTGATGGACTCCACTCCATTTTATCTCCTTGCCCTGTCACTCATAATGAGGCTTCATATATCCTCTCACTCTGTGGGACACCAGAGCCACTCCCCCCTCCCCTGGATGCCCAGTCTTGTGTGTCTGTTGGTGGGAGACTGTGAGGACCCCAGGAGGCAGTGTTCCTGGCCCAAAGGGCCCTTGCTGGCTATTGGGTTTTAGTTTGCAGTCCTGTGTGCTTCCCTCTCTTATGGCTGTGTCCCTGGTTCTCAATAAAATATTTCTTGACCTCCTGGAATCTTTCTTCTATTGTACAAATGTGACTGAAATCAAAGTGGACCTAGGGAATTCCCCAGTGGTTAGGATTCCGTGCTTTCACTGCTGAGGGCTGGAGTTCTGTCCCAGGTTGGGGAACTAAGATCCCACATGGCGGGTGGGATCTTAGTTTTGGGTGTGGCCAAAAAAACCCATAACAGACCCAGTGCACACCCAGTTACACCAGGCTGAAGGAATGTGACCCTGGAAGGGAATGTATCCTTAGAGGAATTCTCAAACTGTAAGTGTATACTCAGGAGTGTGCTAGAGCCAAGTGTTACTTGTGCCAGAGCTAATCGTTGGCATCTTTCCCAGCCCCCATATTAACTGACTTCATGTTGGTAGCTTGAAATTGGCCATGTCAGAGTATTTACAGAAATTGACAATACAAATCAGTCCTCCCCCCCCAAAACTGGTTGGTAAATATCTTTCAGCATACTACTACTGATGTGGGTGGTAGAAACCAGGAGAGTGAGTTCTCCCCCATTAGACACTATAGGACATTTGGGCCTGGTTCAAGAAAAGCCCTCAAGAGCTTAATCAACACTACATTCTTTTATGGCTGGAATACTGCTGAGGCTCAGGTTTCTATACCATGGAGAGGCTGGTATTGAGATAGGATGAGGAGTGATGAGCTATGATGGATCACTTTAGGTCTCGGTGAGATAAAGTGAGAGAGGGGTACTAGAAGAAAGGGCTTCCCTTCCTTGGCTCCTCTAGTTCAGTAGAATATGGTGAGGCTGGGTGGGATGGAGAAACAAGGGAAGAGACCTTGGAGAGACCCGAGGTCAAGGGAGCTGTCCGTGATGGTTCTTTGCTGAGGTCCTTCCCCTCCTCCACCACCAGAGGGCGCCCTTGTGCGGTCTTGGGACCGACCTTCCCAGCTCGGCTGGCGACGCTCTAGTCGCCCTTTCTCTGAGGCCCGCCGGCGGCCACTGAGCTGTGAGCGCAAGGCCTGCCTCCCTGCGCACAGCCTGCGGGTCCGGGTCATGGCACGACTCCCGAAACTCGCAGTCTTCGATCTAGGTGAGGGACCAGATTGGGGAAAGTTTCGTAAGGCACAGTATTTTTCCAACCCCCAGTAGCTGCTCTTGAGGCCCTGCGCCCGCGCAGGCTGAGACACCCACACCTTCTTCCTCTCGCAGATTACACGCTCTGGCCGTTCTGGGTGGACACGCACGTAGACCCCCCGTTCCACAAGAGCAGGTGAGGCAGGGCTGGGGAGGCCTGGGGCCAGGCGGGGCTCCGCGGGACTGAACGCACTCTCGCCCTCTCCAGTGATGGAACTGTACGAGATAGGCGGGGCCAGAGCATCCAACTGTACCCTGAGGTGCCTGCGGTCCTGGAACGATTGCGGGGCCTGGGAGTGCCCATCGCGGCCGCTTCACGGTAAGAAGAGGGACTTAGTCGGTCTAGTGTTGAGAGATGTGTGCATGAGGAGACTTCCGTGTAACCCTTTGGCTGCAAAAATTTAGGACGTGCAAGTTGCAGGTATTTGTACATTTTCAAATTGTACCCTTTGCTGTGCATTTTGTAATTTAATAAACATTGCCTCAGTGGTACCCGTATCAGACAGGAAGGATATGGAATTGAAGCTGGACGGAAGTGCTTGCCCATCCCGGACAACCAAGAAGTTGATTTCCCCCTGGTTACACATAACTTCACTTGCAGCCTTGGCTCTCCATTCTCCCCATCTACTACACCTTTTTGCAGGACAGGTGAGGTTGAAGGAGCCAACCAGCTGCTGGAGCTCTTTGACCTTGTCAGATACTTTGTTCATCGGGAAATCTATCCAGGCAGCAAAGTCACGCACTTTGAGAGGTACGAAGCGATCAGTTGTGGAGCAGGGAGACAAGACCAGGGAGACTGGAGGGGCTAAGAAGCCAGCGTGGTTACTCCCACTCTGTCTTGCACAGGTTGCAGCGAAAGACTGGAGTTCCTTTCTCCCAGATGATCTTCTTTGATGATGAGAAGAGGAACATCGTAGATGTCAGCAAACTGGGTACTAAGTGGTGAGGCTAGCCATTTGGGGAATGAGGAGAAAGTCTTCCTAAGAGGGAAAGGGTTGGTAGGTATGTACAGGATAGTTTGCATGCAGGTGATGCCCCAAAAAGGTGAGAGTCCTAACTGGGAGCCCTGAAGGCCTGATGAAATGTGGCTTCTTTTCTTTCTAGGTGTTACCTGCATTCATGTCCAGCATGGAATGAGCCTTCAAACCCTAACTCAAGGATTAGATGCATTCACAAAGGCCCAAGCTGGACTCTGAGGTCCAGTCATTTGAGGAACAGAACTGAAAGGAAATCAGGAGGGCATTTTCAGGTGCATTTGTAAATTATTAAAGTGTATTTGTGTGTGGCAGAAGAGATCTTACCCTGTGTGGGTTGTTTCTGTTTTGACCTGGGGTGGGCCATCCGGAGGTGCAAAGACCAGAATGTGAGGCACTGGTTCCACCTTATAAACTTGTGGCAAACCGACTGTGATCTCCTGTGCTCTCCCCATTCCCACCCCTCTCCCGAGCTCTGTCAAGGACAATAAAAAACTCTTCCACTGGCCCCAAGTAGTAGGGTGCATTACCCTGCACATTTCCTTCCAGGAAACAAAGAGTTTGTTTGCGGGTTGGAGTGGGGCCTTTTTATACAACGGGAAACGAAGCGGCTGCTTTGAGAGGAGAGCGTGGGTTTGGGGCTGTTGTGTTGGCTCACGTGGTAGCAGTGGTCTCGCCGGCGCCTGTTGATGATGTCGCCGCGGTGCCCTAAGGAGGGATTGGCCGAGGCCGGTCTCGGAGTGATGCGTACAGCACCTTCCCGGGAGCAAGGCGGAAGCGCACTGGATACCGTGGGGCGGAGGCGGGAGAGGCGAGGGTCGCGATGAGTGGGCTTGGCCGGCTGTTCGGGAGGGGTGAGCCCGGGCGAGACTGGTCCCCGGGAGGTGCTGGCTGCAGCGGGCTGGAGGCGGGGAGAGCAGGAGACGCTGTCTGAAAAACCCCTATAGCCTGGCCTTCTCTCGAGCCAGCACCGCCACCTTGTCAGGGTGCGCGGTTCCAGCTGCCTTCCTTCCCAAACCCGGGAGGGAAGAGCCCGAGGCTCCGGAGGCGGTGCGAGTGGAGGGCGTGGCTACTGTGTTGGCTCCCACTGTTGAGGCTTTGGGGAAGAGTTTTTTGGCATCCAGTCCTTTCCAAAACCCTGGTGCTTCCTTCATGCTGGGCCGGAGGCAATCTGAGGGGACCCAAGAAAGCTAGCCCTCTTGACCTCCTCTGAGGTGGGGGAGACAGGCAAAATCTGGCATTTACAGTGTGGTGTGGCAACTCCGTCATGGAGATTTTCCGGAAAGCCAGGGTGAAACGGAAGAATCAGGGTGGCAGGTGGTGATCCGGAGTCTAGGAGTATGCCACGCCGGGGGTTGGGGTGGGGTGGGGTGTTGAGGTTCTCTAGGAAGAGGTAACTGTGTGCAAAGCAGAGGCAGGGAAAAGTGTGGTATATTTAGGGAAAAGAAGTTCTGACCTCTGACTATGGTGTGTGTGTGTGTGTGTGTGTGTGTGTGTGTGTGAAGGACGCTGTATCTTGTTAAAAAACCTTTGTTTTGTATTTTATTCTGTAGGCAGTGGAGAATATGGAAGGATCTTAAGCAGGCTCAGGCCTTCAGCTTTTTTTTTTTTTAAATAAGTCTGTTAGTTCAGAAGATAAAGGGAAAAATTGAGATCAGATTTTTTTTCTTTAGCCTCCATGCTTTGTTCAGTTTGATGTTGTGGAGTCAGGACCTTGAATATCTTCTAGGATAACAAGTGGGACAGTGATTATAAAATGTGACTGAACTCTGGTGGGGAAAGAGATAATGAGGAGGCTATGCATGTGTGGGTGCCGGCAGCACATGGGAAGTCTTGGTACCTTCCACTTGCTCAGTTTGCTGTAAATCCAAAACTGTTCTAAAAAATAGTCTATTTGAAAAAAAAAAAAAATTGGAAATGACTTGAAATGTAGCTAGGAAGGAATAGCAAAAGGATACTGGCTTTGGAATTCATAGTGTCACATTTCAGTTCCCTTGCAGTCTCTTACTACAGTAGTTGTGATTTTAGATCAAAATGTTAACCCCTTTGTGCCTGTTTTCACATTTGTAAGCTGGAGTTAGTACATTCACTGTAGAAAGTCATTTGGGGATTAACAACAACACTATTAAGTGCCTGGCACATACCGTGCACTCCATAATCGGTGGCTAATGTTTTTCCTTCACACAATGTGGGCTGCTCCATTGGATTCCAGGAAAGAAGGAGAAGGCACCAACCCCTGAAGAGGCAATACAGAAACTGAAGGAGACGGAGAAGATACTGATCAAGAAACAGGAATTTCTGGAGCAGAAGATTGAACAGGAGCTACAAACTGCCAAGAAGCATGGGACCAAGAACAAGAGAGGTAATGGGGGAGGGAACGGTGCCACCAAGGAGGGCCGGGGGGAGCACGGGCTTCTTCTCTAATGCTCAGGGTGTGGGCTGGATCAGCCGCCCTACAGGCTTTGCGGAGGAAGAAAAGGTTGGAACAGCAGCTGGCACAAACCGACGGGACATTATCCACCCTGGAGTTTCAGCGTGAGGCCATTGAGAATGCCACCACCAATGCAGAAGTGCTTCGTACCATGGAGCTTGCTTCCCAAGGCTTGAAGAAGGCCTACCAGGACATGTGGGTATGGGGGGAGGGGAGGAGGGGACCTAGGCACTGGGGAGAGTAGCTTGGTTTTGTGCTGTGAATCTTAAAACCTCTCCAGATCTGAATTTAGAGTAGAGACGCCTGTGACAACTAGGCCTCTGTCAGCCTTCTTGCTTATTGCAAGATGATCTCTGCTGGCTGGGACATTCTAGGGAGGAAAGATGATTTTCCTGTTTTTTTTTTTTTTTTTTTTTGGCTGTGCCAAGCAACTGTGGGATCTTAGTTCCACAACAAGGGATTGAACCTGGGCTCCCAGCAGTGGAAGTGTGGAGTATTAACCACTGAACCACCAGGGAAGTCCTAATTTTTCTCATTTTTTAAGACCCTTCAGAGAGAGCAACCAGTCTTCCTCGTTGTGGCTTCATGTCATTTCTCAGCCCACGTTTGCCTCTTTATACTTTTCCAGGGGTCTCTTTTACCTGGTAGCCATGGATTTGTCAGTCTGAAGCCACAGGCAGGAGGGACGTCATTCATGTGAGAAGAAAAAGTGAAGGGGATTGTCACCTGATATCTGGGCTGTGTATCTTGTTCTCAGGGACATTGACAAGGTAGATGAACTGATGGCTGACATCACAGAACAACAGGAGGTGGCCCAGCAGATCTCAGATGCCATTTCTCGGCCTGTGGGCTTTGGAGATGACGTGGATGAGGTGATTGGGCAGGAGGGGTCAGGGAATGTTGAAGGCACGGGACCAGCCAGAAGGAATGCCCAAGAGAATTGTGGGGCAGGTTTGGGGGGCACTCCAAAAGCACGTTTTTGGAAATAGAATTTTCCTTTATTCTGAGTGGCCCTGTCCTCCCATATCCAGGATGAACTGCTGGAGGAGCTGGAGGAGCTGGAGCGGGAGGAACTGGCCCAAGAGCTGTTAGATGTGGGTGACAAGGAGGAGGAGCCCCCAGTCACACTGCCCAGTGTACCCGCTACACATCTGCCTGCAGAGCCAGGTACCCGGGGCTCTTCTCTCTTCTCAAGGACTTGAGAGGGTGGGGTAGATATGGGGAAAATTACTCCCCATCCATCCTGCCTCAAAGGGTCCAGGCAGAGAGGGTTGCTGCTACAGTTGCATAGGTTGTTAACTGCATAAGGGTACCTGGCTGAAGGGGAATGGGGACTGAGATCCGGCTTATGCTTCATTCCACAAACCGTGTATCCTGGTTTAGGGATGCAAATGCTGGGAGAAATGAGCACCTTCTGATTTGCACAAAGGTGCTATGGGAATTAGCAGGAGCCCAGCAAGCAAGACCATATACCCTTAGGTTCTTTGCTGGGAGAGAGCATTCAGCGGGTTCCTAGTGTTACAGGAGGGGATGACTGGAACTTGCTGAGACCTTAACACTTTTCTTTCTCTGGGTGTCCTTGTCTCCAAAGCTCCCAAAGCGGATGAAGATGAAGCAGCCCTAAAGCAGCTGGCTGAGTGGGTGTCCTGATGAGTCTGGGCTTGTCAGCCTAACGCTGCCTTTGTTGCTCTCTTTTCCTTAAGTGCCAAATGCTGAGCTAAAGGAACATGGCCTTGTTGGGAGGTGGTCCTGGCTGAGGGTGGTGGTGTGACCCTGCCTGAGAAAAGGGTCTGTGGCCCTCCCTTCCCTGGCTCAACTATGAAGAAGGATTGGTACAGAAAGAGCCACTGGGCTCCCATGGATAGCATTACAGTGCCCTCATTCCCAATAAAACTGGGCGGATGGAACCCTAGTGCTTATGCTGCCTTGTCTACCACTGAAACTCATCTCCTGGTTCTTGGAGCTTTGTTTCAAGAAATGAATGATAATAACAGTGAGAAAGGGGAGCTGCAGCGTGGAACAGATGGAGATCCCAGTGTCTTCACCTAGTGTGTACCAGGCAGATATTGTTCCATCTCTCAAGCTGGTTTGTCCTGGGGTTGCCTAGTGCTTAGGGTAAGGAAACCGCCGTCTAGTATTATCCCAGAATCATGTGGAGCTGCCCCTAAGTCTTCCCTCATCCCTTTTCACCCAACTGTACCACTGCAAAGAGCCGCATGATTTACTACCCGTGTTCCTTTTACTAAGCCCGTTCACAGATAGGAAAGGAGAAATACATGGATAACAGGGCAAATAGGTTTGCTCTCTCCAGAACGCATAGTGAATAGGCTTGGTTTGAAGCCGTCGCTTCCACGTGTAGGAACAATAAGGAGGGACCATGACTCCCGGGACTGTTTCAGTGGTGGTTAAGGTGGCATTTGGAGGAGGAAGGAACCAAAATATTGCCCACCTCCTGATACTGGTTTCTAAAAGAATGAGCAATGCTGTCCCTTTGGACTATAGACAAACAGAGCAACCAGGGTAGAACAAGTTCTGCCCCACTGCTTGAACATTTGGAGTGCATGGAGATACACAACAGTGAGCATGTCCTCAGCCAGAATAGTGAGGCTTCTCCAAAGCAGGTGTGCCTCCCATCACGGCCCAGCCCACCTTCAGAGCCACAGAACAGCTACACTGTAAATTAAAATCTAGACTTAACTGGTGTCAAGATGACTGGTTACAGGCTCTGGGCAGAAATCCGACTCTCACCCTCAGCACTATTCCCTGCTAAGTGTCCCCTGAGGAAAGAATGTGATTCCAGCTAATGAAACTAAAACAGAATTAGATTTATTTATTTTTGGTATAAAAGATTTTTATCCCCAGACCCTCCTGCTTTGCTCCTCTTTCAACCCCCCTCCCCCCTCTGCCACTTTCAGGTACTGATTTCCAAGGACTGGTGACGATTAGTGGTGCTGGGGGGCTGGCACATGGCCTCGAGTAGCCTGATCTCATGGGTGGGTTGCTCAGGCTGGAACTTCAGCACCCAGGGATCCTTGATGATGTCCAGGATGGTGGCACGCTTGTTGGCTTGGCGTAGCGTCTGGAGGACCAGGTTCTAGGGCAGGGGAGAGAGAGGTCTTGGCTGAGCTGGCCCCCTACTGTGCCACACAGGCAATGAGCAGCCGGACCTAAGGAAGAAGCAGGATAGCCCATCACACCACTCTGGTGAAAGGGAGTGTGGTCCTGACTTTACCCTTAAAAGCCTCCTGTCTGCTCAGAAAGCCAATATCTTGAGGGAAATCCTTGCAGAATCCCCTTCTGGCCTAGAGAATAGAGACTAAAACCTGCTTATCACTCATCCCAGGTGCAAGCCCAGGGGTTGGCCCTTGAAGCCCTCCCTGCCATTCTAGGGTGGAGAGTGGGTGTGAGATGGCCCTGGTGGCAGGGAGCCTTCCCCAGGATCAGGAGGTCTAGGTTGGGTATTCCCTCCCTATGGGGCACCCAAGGCTTCAGCCCTCCTAGGGAAGCCAGCACCTTGCACTCCTGGGAGATGGCATAGTTAGGTGGAAAAGTGACCTCCTTCTGAGTCTCTTTCAGCAGCTTCTTGAGATTGGTGTCATCAAAGGGTAGACGGGCGACCACTAGAGTGTAGAGGATGACGCCCATGCTCCAGGTGTCAGACAGGAAGGGGTTGTAGGGCAAGCCAAGCAAGATCTCCGGGCAGGCATAAGCAAAGCTGCCACAGTAGGTCTGGCTGAGGTGGCTGAAGCAGTTCACTTGGCGGTAGGAAGGGCTATTCCGCACAGACTGGTTAGAAGGCACCATCTTGGCGAAGCCAAAGTCCGATATCTTCACATTCTCCCGCTTGTCCAGCAGCAGGTTCTCCAACTTTAAGTCCCTACCAGCAGCAGAAAGGCTGGGGGTCAGGAGAGGGCTTAGTATTAGACTGGGAGCTGAAGGGCCAGGGGTCAGAGGCTAGAGATGAGGAAAGGCAAAGGGAGAGAGATGCCATTATGAGGACACAGGGCAGAGAGGAAGGAAAGCCAGGGAGTTGTGAGCAAAACCCAAAGGGGAGAGGATGGTAGCTGAGGATTACTGGGAGCTTACCATCACTTTTCATAAAGGTCTCTGCTCACAGTGGGCACTGAATATATGTTCCTGACCAGATGATTAAAGTGGACGAATGGGCCTAGATACTGAGGAGGGAGATCAAGGAGGGGAGGGTGAGGGAAAGAGGGCAGAAAGTAGGAGATGTGCATAAAACCCCCTAGAGCACAAAGGCCTCAGTCTGAGTGGCAGTGCCCTCACCGGTGCACGATGCCTTTGCTGTGAAGGTAGGCGATGCCCAGGGTCAGCTGGGAGAACCACTTTCCAGCAAGGGGCTCAGAGCAGGCCCCGTAGCGCTGGATCCACTCAAGAACGTCACCACCCTGAGCCAGCTCCAGGATGATGTAGACCCGGGATGTGGTCTCGATGGCCTGATAGAAGTTGATGAGATGCTTGTGCCGCAGGACCTTCATCACCTGGCTCCAGAAGAGGGACCCGTCAGACCCAGGCAGGGAGCTGTGCTCCAGCCCTCCTCTCCCTCTGCTGCCTTTTTAGAGCTCTGCAACAGGATCAAACCCCAGAGGGCTGGTGGCCTATGGACAAACACTACGTTTTGTACTTTTACTTTTGAAGGGTCTGAAGGTGAGGTGGAAAGAAACTTAAAATTTCCTAGCTGCCTAGCGAGTCATTCAGTTGTGGTTTAGTGGCTTCTGGCTCCACCCCCTCCTAACTGTACCCCCTTTGAGAACCATTAAGTAGCTTGGTATCAGTTCCCTCTTCTAGACCCCTTTCCAACCTGTATCTCACGGGGCAGGAACTTGTTAAGATAGTCCTCAGAGGCCTTCTTCTTCGAGATGATCTTGACGGCCACCATGACCTTCTGCTTTGTGTAGTAAGCCTCATACACTGTCCCATAGGAGCCATTGCCAATGACTTTGCCCACTTCGTAACCATACTCCTCCATGACAGAGCGGTAGGCCGAGGTGGGTGGTGCTTCCACGTCTCCCTTCCCCATGATGTTGGGCTTGCTGAGTGCAGGGAGCTTTGCTACTTAAAAGCCTCCTGTCTGCCTAGAAAGCCAACACCTTAAGCTGCTGTAGGCTAGGGTACCAAAGTGAAGTTAAAAGTCTCCAAAAGCTTGCCTGTATAGTCACACAAGTCTGGGATGCTGGGCTTAGCTCTCCACTAGGACCTTGGAGGGGAAAGAAGGGAGAAGCAGTTCTTTTTGTCTACACTGGCTGTTGTTACTTCTTTCTCCTCTTGGTTACGGAACTCCCCAAGGTCCCATGTTCTGCACACATCATAATTCACCTTCTATCCACCACTGGCCACAAGGCTTAAGAGGAAATGCAGTTTCATGCTGGAAAGATCCCTTTGTAATCTGATGAGACTCATTCCATGGATCTGGTCCTTTCAACCAGTCATGTTTACTGAGTACCTGCTCTGTGCCAGGCAGGGCGTGGCATCCTGGAAGAAAATTGCCAGTAAGACCAATAGAGACACTATGCTACTAGTGCTTACAATCCAGCATGAGAAACACCTGAGTATGAGAGTATTCCAGAGAATGGTAAGGTGTTGTAGAAGCATGTTCTAAGGGGTCTAAACTATTCTTTTTGTGGGGGTGGCTTTTTTTTAAAAAAGAGTGAGCTGGACTCACTTGGTGAGTCCATCTGGTGACATCATCTCAGCTAGGCTGGTTTGTTTCTGCATAAGAGAAGTGAAAGTTGCTCAGTCATGCCCTACTCTTTGCAGCCTCATGGACTATACACTCCATGGAATTCTCCAGGCCAGGATACTGGAGTGGGTAGCCTTTCCCTTCTCCAGGGGATATTCCCAACCCAGGGACTGAACCCAGGTCTCCCGCATTGCAGGCGGATTCTTTACCAGCTGAGCCACAAGGGAAGCCCAACAATACTGGAGTGGGTAGACTATCCCTTCTCCAGGGATCTCCCAGACCCAGGAATCAAACTGGGGTCTCCTGCATTGCAGGCGGATTCTTCACCAACTGAGCTATGCATATCATGTCATTATTCAGTAGACTAGCCCAAGTTGCCTTACATAGTTTGCACTAAATTCCAAGTGAAAAAAAAAATCAGAAGCTGCATGACCAATTGAGACCTAGGCTCCAAAATAAAAAAACATTACTTCCATACCTTTATATGAATAAAGACAGTTACAAGGATCACTCAGATGTATGGGGTGGGGATGGAGATGCCTCTTAACCTTGAAATGCACCCTTATCTTGCCTTCCATGACCCTGGACTCTAGTTTTCCTTACATCCTGCCAGCCATTCCCCAGGTTCCACTGGAGCCTCTCCCACCATCCATCCCTGTAACAGAACCTTATTTCTGTTATTTCTCCCTCTATTCCTAACAGAAATAAGGTTCTGTTACAAGCCTTATTTCCTCTGAGCTTTACATGCTTCCTAAGGATCTCATCAAGACCCATTTCTTCACTGATGACTCCAGCAAGCCTTCTGCTCCTCATCCCTTAGTGTGTTCACCCTGAAGTCCAGGGAACAAATCTGCTTTTGTTCCCACAACAATTCAGTGCCTCCCCATTCTCCTTAGGATCAAGTGGAAATTCTTCTATGTGACTTCAAATTTGACCCCACTAACCTCTCTAATTTTCTGTTGTAATATACATGCAATGCTCCAACCAAACATCTGCTTTTCCTTCATTGTTCCCTCTGTTCTGGCAGACTTGACTCTCTTCAGGGCTTAGCTGATGTGCTGTTTTAAGGAAGCCTTTACTGACTGCTCAGGTACAAATCAGATGTCCCTCCCTCCTGAGTGCTCCCACAGCTCCAATACTTTCTCTAAGTAGTGTCTTCTTTTTCTTGCTTGCATCTCCCGCTAGGCTGTAAGGAAGGTCAGTTGATGAGGGAAGGGGTATGAAGTCAAAGATCTGAGAAGAAGGGCTTGTGGAGAATGGGAGAGAGCTGACTGGGAAAAGGAACATTATCGGGCAGCACTGAGGGTCCAATTGAGATTGGAAAACCCAGCTTATGGACACACAATTTTAACACAGTATAGTGTTAAGATTTTTTATCTTCCATCCTCCAAAACAAAACTTTCAACAGATTATGCCATAGGCTACTGGTAAATTCTCATTTATTGACAGTCCTGCTGGCAGGGTGACTGAAAATCCTGTTGGAATCAGATCTACATCCTCAGTCTATCAAAATGAGCAGCTGTCCAGGACACACCATGGTAAGGAGGCTCACCCGGCCCCGCCTGTCTTCTGCTCCCCTGGATAGGCAGCTTGGTGGCACCTCTGTTCTCATCATGTACAGCAGGTAAATCAGTTTGTGCAAGGAATGTGTATTAAGCTGCCTCAGTTCAGTTCAGTCGTGTCTGACTCTTTGTGACCCCATGGACTGCAGCACACCAGGCCTCCCTGTCCATCACCAACTCCCAGAGCTTGCTCAAACTCATGTCCATTGAGTCGGTGATGCCATCCAACCATCTCATCCTCTGTCGGCCCCTTCTCCTCCTGCCTTCAATCTTTCCCAGCATCAGGGTCTTTTCTAATGAGTCAGCTCTTCACATCAGGTGGCCCAAGTATTGGAGCTTCAGCTTCAGCATCAGTCCTTCCAAAGAATATTCAGTGAATCCTTTGGGATTCACTGGTTTGATCTCCTTGCTGTCCAGGGACTCTCAAGAGTCTTCTCCAACACCACAGTTCAAAAGAATCTATTCTTCAGTGCTCAGCTTTCTTTATGGTCCAACTCTCACATCCATACATGACTACTGGAAAACCATAGCTTTGACTAGATAGACCTTTATTGGCAAAGTAATGTCTCTGCTTTTTAATAGGCTATCTAGATTTGTCACAGCTTTTCTTCCAAGGAGCAAGCATCTTTTAATTTCATGGCTGCAGTCACCATCTGTAGTGATTTGGGAGCCCAAGAAAATAAAGTCTGTCACTGTTTCCATTAAGCTGCCTACTGTATACAAAAACACTGCTAGGTTGTGCTTGCTAAGGGTTTATCCTTTGCTAAGGATACCAAAATGGATAAATTATAATCCCCCTGTGAGGAGTTAGCAATTAGCAAGGGAGAGAGACACATAAGAAGTTAACAAAATATTACAGTGAGATAAAGTTCTATAAAGTCTGAAAGGAGATGTAAGGGAAAGCTTTATAGAGAAGGTGGCATTTGTACTGTTCAAAAGACAGGTAAGCAGGGAATGGTGGATTGAACAGTCTAGGCAGAAGGAACTATATGAAGCTTGCAGGCCTGAGAAAATATGACATTCAATTTAAACACAGGATAGGGTTCCAGAGGGGAATGTACCTGGAGAAGTAATTTAGATCCAGGTCTGAGAGACCTGATATGCCAAGTTTTTTTTTTTTTTTAATGGTTCTGTCCTATGTACTCATGGTTAAATTTTGGTATGCATCAAAATCAGAGCTTGTTAAAAAAAATACTGATGCCCAGTAACGTCCTCCCCAAGATCCTGATTTGGGAGGGGACCCAGGTATCTCTGTTTTTAATAAATTTCTAGCTGAACTTGATGCATACTGAGATTTAAGAACCGTTGTTGCAAACTAGTGAATTTACTTTTTTTTTTGGTCGCACTGCAAGGCATGTGGGATCCTAGTTCCCCAACCATGTTCCCGGCATTGGAAGCGAGGAGTCTCAACCACTGGACTGCCAGGGAATTCCCAAACTAGTGAATTTAAGCAAAAAAGAAGCAGACTCACAGATAAAAAAACAGACTAGTGGTTACCATTGAGGAGGGACAGAGGGACAATATAGGGGTGGGGGAATGGGAGATACAAATTACTGCCTGTAAGATACGCTCAAGCATGTACAACATGGGGAATACAGACAATATTCTGTAATAACTGAATGGAAAGAAACCTTTAAAAATCATTAAATTTTTTTAAAAAAAGAATCACTGTTGCTGGAAATAGGACATCTTTAAGATTAAAAAAAAAGAAAAAAAACTTGCAGCAACAGTCTGGAAAATAGATACAAGGGGAGAGATGACCAAGAGAGAAGCAAGGTGGCTGTCAGCTTAGTTGAAGGGATAGGACCGGCACCAAGGCAGCATGGCAAGCAATTTGGAAGACACTCGAGAGAAAAGCAGAGGAATCCTGGTGGAACTGACTTATTGGGGGGTGGGGGGGTGGGCAGTGACTGTTAACTGTGAAAGAGGCCCAGGTTTAGAGACCAGATGGTTGTCATATAAAAGATTATTCCAAAGCCACTCTAAGTTTTTTTTTTTCTAATTACAAAACTCACTGTCTAAAAATCTCAGCCTCTACATCCTGGAACCTCACCTCCTCCTGCAGGGAGGAGGGCTGGGTCAGAGAGGGCAGAAATGAGTAAATGAAGGACTTCTCAAGCCAGAAGTCACTTAACACTTTCCACTTTCTTTACTCGAGTAAAAGGAACCTTAAGTTGTTCTCAAGCGGCCAAACTCAGCAACCCTAGGTCTGATCTCCAGAGGAACTTCCCTAGTGACAGATCCCTTGACAGAATAAACTTTTCCAGAATAATCGGCAATACAAAATTAAAAGATGCTCAGACACATACCAAGAACTTCCAGATGTTCAAGCTGAATTTAGAAAAGGCAGAGGGTCCAGAGATCAAATTGCCAACATCAGTTGGATCATAGAAAAAGCAAGAGAATTCCAGAAGAACATCTACTTCTTGCTTCATTGACTACACTAAAGCCTTTGACTGTGTGGATCACAGCAAACTGTGGAAAATTCAAGAAATGGGAATACCAGACCACCTTACCTGCCTCCTGAGAAGCCTGTATGTAGGTCAGAAGCAACAGTTAGAACTGGACATGGAACAACAGACTGGTTCCAAATTGGGAAAGGAGTACATCAAGGCTGTATATTGTCACCCTGCTTATTTACCTTATATGCAGAGTACTTCATGTAAAATGCCAGGTTGGATGAAACACAAGCTGGAATCAAGATTGCAGGGAGAAATATCAATAACCTCAGATATGCAGATGACACCTATGGCAGAAAGCAAAGAGGAACTAAGAACCTCTTGATGAAGGTGAAAGAAGAGAGTGAAAAAGCTGGCTTAAAGTTCAGCATTCAGAAAACTAAGATCATGGCATCCAGTCCCATCACTTCATGGCAAATAGATGGGGAAACAATGGAACAGTGACAGACTTTTATTTTCTTGGGCTCCCAAATCACTACAGGTGGTGATTACAGCCATGAAATTAAAAGACGCTTGCTCCTTGGAAGAAAAGCTATGACCAACCTAGACAGCATATTAAAAAGCAGGGACATTAGTTTGCCGACAAAGGCCTGTCTAGTCAAAGCTGTGGTTTTTCCAGTAGTCATGTATGGATGTGAGAGTTGGACTATAAAGAAGGCTGAAAAAAAAAAAAAATGAAAAAAAAAAAAAGAAGGCTGAATGCAGAAGAATTGATGCTTTTGAACTGTGGTGTTGGAGAAGACTCTTGAGAGTCCCTTGGACAGCAAGATCAAGCCAGTCAATCCTGAGGGATATCAATCCTGATACTCATCGGAAGGACTGATGCTGAAGCTGAAGCTCCAATACATTGGCCACCTGATGAGAAGGGCTGACTCATTAGAAAAGACCCTGATGCTGGGAAAGATTGAAGGAAGAAGAAGGGGCCCATAGAGGATGAGATGGTTGGATGGCATCACCAACTCAATGGACATGAGTTTGAGCAAGCTCCGGTAGACGGTGATGGACAGGGAAGCCTGGCATGCTGCAGTCCATGGGTTCGCAAAGTCATACACGACTGAGCGACTAAACAACAAACACATACACACAGGTAAATAAAAATAAAAACAGTGATCAAAACATGTTAAGATGCTTTACTTGCAATTAAAAAAAAAAAGATGCTTTACTTGCAATTAATAATAAGCTCCAGGCTGCCCAACTCACAGGGTAAAAACCCCGATTTCTTTGCCTGCCTCTTAACCAGACCTGGCCCAGGATTGCCTATCGTCGGACACAGGACGGTCACTATACAGTCAAGGAGGCCTCCAGGACAGCCTCGGGAAGATACTTTTATTTACATATTTGGCTTTTGGCGAGAGGCCACTCATGACTGTTGGCAGAGCAGCCCTGAGGTGAGATCCGACTCTAGGGCCATTGTATGGGCTACGTCCTCGCTGTCCTAGGACAGCAGCGCCCAAAGCCTCATCCTCGTCCTCGGTCGGAACCTTGAGCCGCCTCTCGGGACTCGGCCTCTGCACTTGCGGTGGCGAGTTCCATTGGTTCAGCCGGCAAACGCGTCGGGCATCCACTAGGTGTGGGCTAGCCGCCCCCGGGATCCGGACGGTCACTCGGTGCGCGCGGCGCGCACTGTTCTTAGGCGTCCAACCCCAAACTTCCCGAGGACAGGGGACCGGACTGTCGGCGACCCTTATCCAAAAAAAACGTGTTTGTGTCCTCATAGTGAGGTCTCAACCGGAAACCCTCCGGGGGAAACAGGACGGCGTAGCTGCGGCTTTAGCTGGGGGGCGTGGCTCCCTCCAAGCTCCAGGGAAGGAGTTTTCCGCGGGGCTGAGGTCCCTGCGGGCGAAGGCGGAAGGGGTAAGATTGACGTGTCCCGAGCTGCCCTTCCGATTGCCGGGAGGGCCCCGCGCCGGGCGACGCACTGGCGGAGAGTCGCTGGGTCTGCAGAGGTGGGCCGAGCCTCCAGCCGTAGAAAGTTCCTGCGGCAGCACTGAGGTGAGCCGAGCGCGACGTTTTGCTGTGCGGCCGCAGCCGCTGTGATCAGGCACCGCGGCGGCCAGCCCCGTGGAGGTCGGTCGTTAAGTCCTCTCCAGGCCCCCCGCTAGCGCGCCGCTCAGGGGGAGACCCCGGCTGGAGCGCAAGAGCGGCTACGGGGCCGCAGAGGCCTCCTCGGCCAGCCCTTCCCGCGCGGAGAGCACCCCGGGGCTACAGCCGGAAGGTGCCGGAGGTGCGGGGCCGCGTGGCGTTGCCATGGGAATGGGCTGGGGCTCGCGGGGAGGTCCTAGGCAGGCGGGCTGCTGGAGGGGGTACCCCAGGTTCAGAGGACTGCAAGAGCAGAGGCGGAACCTAGTGTTCGGGCTAGAGAGACTTGGTGTGGTTGTGGCGGTGGGGTCGGGGGGTGGTGGCCTCCTGAGGGATGGGAGGAAAGGCTAAGGGGAGGAATTGGAGCCATTGGCTTCAGTTCGAAGAACCTGACCTGGGGGGTTATTTGATCCCTGGTTCCCATAACTGCAGAACTCCCTCAAACAGGTTCCGCTGCCTTAAGGATGCCAGTCCTAGGGCACCCTCGAAGTTGGAGCTGCCGGTGGGGGCCGCTTCTGCTGCTGCTGCTGCTGCTCACCGGCCGTGAGCCCGGGGTGGAAGGTGTGACACACTACAAGGCCGGCGACCCCGTCATTCTCTATGTCAACAAAGTGGGACCTTACCATAACCCTCAGGAGACTTACCACTACTACCAGCTTCCGGTCTGCTGCCCTGAGAAGATACGCCACAAAAGCCTTAGCCTGGGCGAAGTGCTGGATGGGGACCGAATGGCAGAGTCTCTGTACGAGATCCGCTTTCGGGAGAATGTGGAGAAGAGAGTTCTGTGCCACATGCAGCTCAGTTCCGCACAGGTCAGCCTCTCCACAGTGACTGGGACTCAGCCCTCCTTCCCAGGACCTTGAGTTTATGGTTTTCAAAGCACCTTTATGGAAATGATCCGATTTGATTCTAACTACAACTTTATGTGACAGGCAGGACAGTGGTTGATACAGAAACATCTTTGCTCAGAAGTAACTTTTTTGGAGACTACATAGATGGTGGATTGCAGAGTTGATATGAGAGCCCAGGGCTCCTGACTTGAAGCTTCTTTGTTGGTCATAAGGTCCCAACTCCTACGTAGTCATTTTTTTTCCATTCCTACCTCTCAGCTATTTTAACTGGCTCCTTTACACTCTATTTTGCCTGTCATGCTTTTATCTTCAGCAATTCCTATCTTAGGGCATTTTCCCTTGGTCTACTCCAGGCCTTCCTACACCTTCTCCCTCTCCTTCTAGGCCTTCATCCTGACAAATCATACTTGTTCATTTAGGAGAATCACAACATACTAGGGTCTAATCCAGTGGCTCTCAGCAGAGGGTTTTTGTCTCTCAAGGGACATTTGGCAATGCCTGGAGATATTTTTGATTGTCAGGATTGGGGGATGCTGCTGATGTTTAGTGAGAAGCCAGGGATGGAGCATCTCACAATGCATAGCCCCCCAACAACAAAGAATCATCTAGCCCAAAATGTCATTAGTGCTGAGGCTGAAATCCTGCTCTAATCGTTGCTTGGGGAGGCCTTGTCTGACTCCTGACTTGCTCTCTGTAGGTGGAACAGCTACGCCAGGCCATTGAGGAACTATATTACTTTGAATTTGTGGTGGACGACTTGCCAATCCGTGGCTTTGTGGGCTACATGGAGGAGAGTGGCTTCCTGCCTCACAGCCACAAGATAGGACTCTGGACCCATTTGGACTTCCACCTAGAATTCCATGGAGATCGAATTATATTTGCCAATGTCTCAGTGCGGGATGTCAAGCCCCACAGTTTAGATGGGCTACGACCTGATGAGTTCCTAGGCCTCACCCACACCTACAGCGTGCGCTGGTCTGAGACGTCAGTTGAGCGTCGGAGTGACAGGCGCCGTGGTGATGATGGTGGCTTCTTTCCCCGAACACTGGAAATCCATTGGTTGTCCATCATCAATTCCATGGTGCTTGTGTTTTTACTGGTGGGTTTTGTGGCTGTTATTCTTATGCGTGTGCTTCGAAATGACCTGGCTCGGTACAACTTGGATGAAGAGACAACCTCTGCAGGTTCGGGTGATGACTTTGACCAAAGTGACAATGGCTGGAAAATTATCCATACAGATGTCTTCCGCTTCCCTCCATACCGTGGTCTGCTCTGTGCTGTACTTGGTGTGGGTGCCCAATTCCTGGCCCTTGGCACTGGTGAGGTGGTAACAATTAATCAGGGATTTCTCTCAAGGGGTAGCACTAAGTAGGTAGTTTGTTCAGAAAAAGATCTGCAGAGCTTCTTTTCTGTCCAAGGTGAGGGGCAGACCTAAGGGGTGGGATGGCTCTAATGAGGATGCATATATTCTGCTGTGGGTTTTCTGGACAACAGAACTGGGGGATATTGGAAGCCCTGGGTCTGGGAGAAAGGGGGCTGGCTGATCCCTCTGAAATGGGATAAGTGAGATCTAACACAGGCTTTCCACTACCACCCTGCAGGCATTATTGTCATGGCGCTGTTGGGCATGTTCAACGTGCACCGTCATGGGGCTATTAATTCAGCAGCCATCTTGTTGTATGCCCTGACTTGCTGCATCTCTGGCTACGTGTCCAGCCACTTCTACCGGCAGATTGGAGGCGAGCGCTGGGTGTGGAACATCATTCTCACCACCAGTCTCTTCTCTGGTATGACTGCCTGTTTCCTGGTGGGCCAATTTAGGAACTTAGAACACATTGTGGAATCTGAGATAGAGTCCAAGTAAGGCTTTAAGGGAATGAAAATAGGCAAAAGAAACACTAAAAAAGCCATCCAAAAGAAAAAAATGCATTTGTTTTTGCATAGTTAAAAATGATTAAGCCCTTAAAATGTTCTAAGCAGCATGATAAGCACTTGACATGCCTTCATCTAATACTCATTACTAACTTTATGAAGTTGGTATTATTGTTCCCATTTTACAGATGAGGAACTTGAGCTTAAGGCTGGTTGGGTAACTTGCCTGAGATTATACTTCTAAAAAGCAGTGAATCAGGTTTCACAACTAGGCAATCAAATTCTAGAGCCTGTATTCTCAACCATTCCACTGAAATAACATTCTCAAATTTATCTTTTGATACTCCCTTTCTTTTTCCCAAAGTTTTTTTAATTTGGAAGCGGGCTACCCCACTCCAGCCTTTCAAGCCAGCCTGTCCTTTCAAAGACAGTAATTTGCATTCTGAACCTTTTGTGTTTCCAACTCAAGTGTCTGATTTCTCTTCCATCACATTTACGTTTGAACCAAGGCTTTCTGAAAACAGGGCCTTAATTCAAAGGAATGTCTCATACTAGGAGTCAACCAGTGCCATGGCAGGACAAGTCCTTGGAGGCAGGTGGATTTGTGTCATTCTTAGATCATTATGTAATGGGCTTGCCTTGATCCTTATTGATAATGGGTAGGGGAGGGAGTGTTGGTAAGCCAGGGAACAAAGAACAAGACATGAAAGGGTGGAGTCAGCCTGGGAGCAGGATGTTTCACTCCTCACCCCTTTAGGTCCAGTCTGATTGGTGCTCCCAGGGATGTAGCTCCTAGTGCTGACCCTCCCTCTGGGGGCCCATCCCTGCAGTGCCTTTCTTCCTGACGTGGAGTGTGGTGAACTCCGTGCATTGGGCCAATGGCTCAACACAGGCTCTGCCAGCCACCACCATCCTGCTGCTTCTCACGGTTTGGCTGTTGGTGGGCTTTCCCCTCACTGTCATCGGAGGCATCTTCGGGAAGAACAACGCTAGCCCCTTTGATGCTCCTTGTCGCACCAAGAACATCGCCCGGGAAATCCCACCCCAGCCCTGGTACAAGTCTACACTCGTCCACATGACTGTTGGTGGCTTCCTACCTTTCAGGTATCCTCCCTTTATTCTGTGGCCATCACTCTCAGGATCCTGACCGTAACTTTCCCCTTCCCTACTCACCAGTACCCTAACCCAATGTCAGTGATGGTCCCTGGTTCAGAACTGTACCATTAAGAGATCACTAAGTGGTTCCTCCTTTCTCCAAGCAGGAGTATCAGTTCAAATATGAGGGTGTCTAATTTGAAAAGCTCTCCAGAGACATTGCTCCTTTCACTGTCTTCCTAGTTTCTGACCTTAGTGACACCATGTGGGGCTTAAAACCCATTTGATTACTCATTCAATTTGTTGAGTACCTTTTCATGTCAGGCAAATACAGTGGAAAACAGAACAGACAAAATCTCTGCTCTCAACCTACCAAAGATGTTCTTGAAATGAGAGCAGCTAATCACAAGTTAAAAAGAATCCCCCTCAAGCCAGGAACTCCAGGGCAGGAAGTGGAGAGGGCCCACTTTTCACGGTGACCCAGTAACACGGAGGGGTGGCGGCTGCGCTGGCGATGCCCGCAGCCCTTTAAACGCTGTGTACCATCTCTTCTCTTCACAGTGCCATCTCTGTGGAGCTGTACTACATCTTTGCCACCGTGTGGGGTCGGGAGCAGTACACTCTCTATGGCATTCTCTTCTTCGTCTTCGCCATCCTGTTGAGCGTGGGGGCTTGCATCTCCATCGCACTCACCTACTTCCAATTGTCTGGGGAGGATTACCGCTGGTGGTGGCGATCTGTGCTGAGTGTCGGCTCCACTGGGCTATTCATCTTCCTCTACTCCGTTTTCTACTATGCCCGTCGCTCCAACATGTCAGGGACGGTACAGACAGTAGAGTTCTTTGGCTACTCCTTACTCACAGGATACGTCTTCTTCCTCATGCTGGGCACCATCTCCTTTTTTTCTTCCCTCAAGTTCATCCGTTATATCTATGTTAACCTCAAGATGGACTGAGTTTTGGGCGGCAAAACTATTGCCCTTTCCCTTTCTTCATGCTGCCCCCCGTTCATTGGTCTCTTACCAACATCTCTTCGATTGAGTGACTGACTTGTGTGGTGGTTTTGTTGCCTTCCCCTTTGCCCTTTGGGTCTCCCTTCAGAGAGGGCCTGGAAATTGAAGTCTCTATTATTATGAGTATATATTTGAACTTTTTTTAAGTTGCTTTTAGTTGGGGGCCTGATTTTTCTTTTTACAATACCAAAATAAAATTTATTAAGAAAAAGGTTTGGTCTGGATATAGGAACTCATGCCCTGCCGTTAAGGGCAATGTCCCCTAGGAGGCCGTGCCGGCCGCGAAATGCACGGAACTGGAATTCTCCGCGGAGCTTGGGAACCGCCCGCTGTGGGAACTTATATTACCAGGGCCCTGTTTCCACGGCTCAGCCGGCGGTCGACCCAACGGAAGTGGCGGAGCCTGAACTCCAGCGCTCCGCTGGAGTTGAATCACCCTGGTGATGGGAGTGGCGCGGAGCAACGCCCTTTCCGCCGGAAGCGGATTTCAGAGCCTCCACGTGCTGTCCCTCCCCCCTCCCGGTCCCGCAGCAGCGGCTCCGCTGCCATGGAGCCCGCCGGCCTGGAACAGATCCTGCGGGAGCTGCTGCTGCCGGACACCGAGCGCATCCGTCGGGTACGGGGCAGGCGGGACCGGGCCAGGGCGAGTAGGGGATTGCGGGAACGGCCCGACTCTGACCCTCAGGCTCTTCCCAGGCCACCGAACAGCTCCAGACCGCTCTTCGGGACCCCGCCTCCCTCTCCACGCTCTGCGACCTGCTGGCCTCAGCGGGTGACCCTCAGGTGAGGCTTCTGGCCCTTCCCGCTGAGCAATAGTACGCCACATGTCAAGTCCTAGCATCTGTCCTCGGCCATCCGCTCAACTTCTTCCTGCCCCGATCCTCACACGCCGGCTTCCTCGTCCTTCCCCCGGACCCCCAAACGCCTGCTTCCTCGTCCCGGTTCGGTCCCTCAAGTATCTGCTTCCTCGTCTCAGATCCGCCAGTTCGCGGCCGTGCTGACCCGCAGACGATTAAGCACCCGCTGGCGTCGGCTGGCGGCTGAGCAACGGGAAAGGTGGGTTGGGCCAGGGGCGGGGCGGGGCCAGGCTGAGGCGGCTTCTGAGTACCAATCTTCTGCCACCTGTGTTTCAGCATCAAGTCCTTGGTCCTGATGGTTCTCCAGAGAGAGACAGAGTAAGTGCCTACCTGCCTCCTCTCGGGGTCCTAACTGGCTCCAGGCTGAGATCTTTTCCCGCTTTCTGCCGCCTTTTTCAACAATAGGCTGGGTCTTGGGAGGCAGGGACTTTGGTTCTAGATCAAGGGTGAGAGGAAGAATTTTTCTCAGGATTTATTAAAGACTAAAGTTCTTGAGAGTGGGCTGTGATCGTCTGGCAAACTCGAGTCAGAAGAATGGAACTGAAATTCAATATGAGTCAACCCCACCATGCTTCTATTTCTCTCTGAGTTGCCATCTTGTGTCCCAACTTGGCAGAGACCATGTGTGCACACCTGGAGGTTTCTCTCCTGGCCACCCTAGGGAGACAGAGCCATCGTGTGCAGAAGGGGAGTTGGAGGGTGACTGAGGGTGGGCAGTCTCTCCTGTTTGCAGGCATTCTGTGAGTCTTAGCCTGGCCCAGCTCTCAGCTGCCATTTTCCGAAAAGAAGGCCTGGAGGCCTGGCCTCAACTCCTGCAGCTTCTTCAGCACAGTACACACAGTCCCCACATCCTGGAGAGAGAGGTACTGTCCCATGGTTGGTGGGGGGAGGGGACCCAGAGGCTGGATAGACTGTAAGCTTTTCTCTCTCACCCCTTCTTCCTGAGCAGATGGGGCTTTTGCTTCTAAGTGTGGTGGTGACCTCCCGACCCGCGGCCTTCCGACCCCACCACCGGGAGCTTCTCCGACTTCTGAATGAGACCCTTGGTGAGGTGGGCTCTCCTGGGCTCCTCTTCTATTCCCTGCGCACTCTGACCACCATGGCCCCTTACCTTGGCATTGATGATGTGGTGAGATGTGGGCCCTTATCTTCCTTGGTTCCCGTCCTTGGGCTTTCGTGTCCTTCCCCTAGCGGACACAGATCTACTTGAGATTCTTTCCCTGGTTTTTGTTCTGCCTAACAGTTGAGAGGGGATCCTGTGGTGGCTGTGCCTGGACTCCTCCTATGTCCAGACTTGGAGGAAGCGGACAGTTTCTGGGGCTGGAGATTAGGCTGTGTCATGCTTTCTGTGATTCATCTCATCTTGTGTCCTCCAGCCTCTTGCGCGGATGTTGGTGCCCAAGCTCATCGTGGCCGTGCAAACTCTGATCCCTATAGATGAAGTAAGGACATTTGGGTGGGAGCTCTGTCGGAAGGAGTGAGAGTTGCAGGAGTGTTCAGCTTGATCCACTGAAGAAGAGCATGATAAGCCTGTGACTTCTCTGTTTGGCAGGCAAAAGCCTGTGAGGCCATGGAGGCCCTGGATGAATTGCTGGAGTCAGAGGTGCCCATCATCAGCTCGCACCTCTCAGAAGTCCTCACATTCTGCCTGGAGGTGAGCCTAGGGTTGGCACTGTCCTTGCTGCTCATTCTGCTGGGAGCTTCCTTGCCTGTTTCTGATTTGAGCTGGTCTGTGGGCAGGTGGCTAGAAACGTGGCCCTGGGCGATGCAATACGTGTACGTATTCTTTGCTGCCTCACTTTCTTGGTCAAAGTCAAGAGCAAGGTGAGTTGCCTTCTGACACACATCAATCCACCCCTATTTCCTCCTCTGTCTCACTCTTGGGTCTTGCTGTCCTTTTGGGGATATGTAAAATACCATAGCTAAGGTGTTCCAGATTTGGTCTGAACTCAGCCCAGCTCTTGGCTTGGGAACTGGGAATCTCCTGCTGGACCCCTTGTAGCCGGGAAGGCTAGAATTTTAAGTGTGAGCCCATCTCAGGAGCAGATTCTCGGGACACCCTTTCATCCTTCCCCTTCAGGCCTTGCTGAAGAATCGCTTCCTGCCACCCTTGCTGCAGACGCTTTTCCCCATCATGGCTGCCGAGCCCCCCGCGGGCCAGCTGGATCCTGAGGACCAGGATGTGGAGGAGGAAGGGCTGGATCCTGGGCTGGTGGGGGAGACCCCCAAGCACTTTGCTGTTCAGGTGGGACGAATGTGGAGGGTCCGGTGGCTGGGGTGTGAGGTGGTTGGAGAAGGTCGCGGGGCAGAGATGGGAGTCCAGCTAGGTCTTCCTGTCCTATTCCAGGTCGTGGACATGCTGGCACTCCATTTGCCTCCTGAGAAGCTCTGTCCCCTGCTGGTAAGTGTGGCTCTGTCCTTCCAGTGATCCTAACCCCGGGTTTGCCTAGTCCCCCTGATGCTGAGGATGTTTGGGCTCTGCTAGGCGTGGCGGCTCTTGCTGGGGTCTCAGGAGACTGCCATCTACTTCCCTAGATGCCCATGCTGGAAGAGGCCTTGCGGAGCCAGAGCCCATACCAGCGTAAGGCTGGGCTCCTGGTATTGGCGGTACTCTCCGATGGAGCCGGCGACCACATCAGGCAGAGGTGTTTGTTCCCCTGTCTTGGAGTGAGGGTGGGCCATGGTGAGGAGGACCACAGCGCCCACGGCAGTCCTGGGCCGCGCTTGTGCTTCAGCCTCATCATCAGTAGCATCTGTCCTTCCTCTCAAACATCCTGATCTGGCAGATAAATGTGCATATCCCGGCGGCTGGTGCTTACCGTCTAGTGACAGAAAGCTTGGTTTTCCCAGGGGAAAGCTTGGTTTTCCCAGGCTGAGCAGCCTGGCTCAGCCCAGGGATCTCAGGTCCTGCCCCTCAGACTCCATCCTCTTGTCCTGCCCCATCCAGACTGCTGCCCCCACTGCTGCAGATTGTGTGCAAGAATCTGGAGGACCCGTCGCAGGTTGTGCGCAATGCCGCGCTCTTTGCTCTGGGCCAGTTCTCAGAGAATTTACAGGTCAGCAAGGCCACAGTGGGCAGCCACCATTCCAGAGTTCCCACTGTCCCCCCAACCCCCTGCCCCGTCCCAGGGACCAGCTCATCCCTCAGCTCGTCCTTCTGCATACCTGCTGCTCTCAGCACTTAGACATGTGCACTGCAGCTAAGCTGACTCAAGACTCCCTTTCTCCTCCCCCCAGCCCCACATCAGCAGCTATTCTGGGGAGGTGATGCCACTGCTCCTTGCCTATCTAAAGTCAGTGCCTCCTGGGCACACACATCACCTGGCCAAGGCCTGCTATGCTCTGGAGAACTTCGTGGAGAACCTAGGTAATGAGGGCACTTGGGGGTGTGAGGGAGTGGATGGGGCTGTGGTTTTGGCTGAAAGGGCAGGATATGCAGCTCCGTGAACCACTGCCTGTGGTGGGGACAGGTGTGGTAGGGAGACAGGCATGGTGGGGCCACAAGGCGGGTTGGCCTGGAGGCAGGCATGAGGATCTTGTTTGGTTGCTGGAGGGGTGCCCTTTCCCACAGGGCCTAAAGTGCAGCCCTACCTTCCGGAGCTTATGGAGTGTATGTTGCAGTCTCTGAGGGGCCCCAGCAGCTCCCGGTCCAAGGAGTTGGCTGTGAGCGCCCTGGGAGCCATTGGTGAGTCAGAGGCCAGAGGTGGGCGCCTGGGGTTCACGCCGTTCACTCACTCATGGTGCCTGTGGTAGGTGATCCCGGCTCACCCCCTGGCTCTGAGTCTGTCCTTCCACCCACAGCCACGGCTGCCCAGGCCTCCATGCTGCCTTATTTCCCCACCATCATGGAGCATCTGCGGGAGTTCCTGTTGACGAACCACGAGGACCTGCAGCCTGTTCGGATCCAGAGCCTGGGTGAGTGAGGGGCTCCTGGCAAGCTTCCCGGGGCCGGAGAGGGGCCGATGCTCCCCTGATGTTCATAGCGATGGGCTCCGGGGCAGCACAGGTTTCTCCCTTCCCTCACACTGTACGCAGGGGTGGGAGAGGTTTCTGAATCCCCCTCAGCTACCTCTGGTTCCCCAAGCCTTGGCCCTGCACACCTCTAGCCTGTAGCTCCTGGTGCTAACCATGGCCTTGCCTCCGCAGAGACGCTTGGGGTGCTGGTACGAGCAGTAGGGGAGCCCATGAGGCCCCTGGCTGAGGAATGCTGCCAGCTGGGGCTGGTCCTATGCCACCAGGTAGACGACCCTGACTTGCGGCGCTGCACGTGAGTGAGCCCTCACCCTGCCTCCACCCAGACCCCAGACCTCCCGTTCTAGACCATGGGTTCCCCGGGCTCCCCCATCCAGCCTGACTACAGTAAGCAGGACTATGCAGCCTCCACCTGCCTTTCCCAGGTACAGCCTGTTTGCAGCCTTATCAGGGCTAATGGGTGAGAGTCTGGCTTCCCACCTGCCACAGATCACCACACTCATGCTGCTGTCACTGCGTTCCACCGAGGGCATTGTGGTGAGTGGAAGGTCGGGGAGGGTGTGGGCCAGTGGGGGAAGGCCACCCCTGGGATGGGAGCTCTCTCCAGGGCCCGGCTGAGCTGAAGTCCCTGCTGGGCCTCCCCATCCAGCCTCAGTACGATGGAAGCCGCACATTCCTTCTTTTTGACGATGAGAGCAGTGGTGAGGAAGAGGAGGAGCTCATGGAGGAGGATGACGAAGAAGAGGATGACTCAGAGATCTCAGGGTGAGGGGGCTGCCCTTCTGGGCCAGGGAGTCCTGGCTTAGACAGGGGCCCAGGGACAGCTCTGCTCTCATTGGCACCTGACTGCTGCCGCCTTCCCGCCTTACTCTAGATACAGTGTGGGAAACGCCTTCTTTGATGAGAAGGAAGACACCTGTGCTGCCCTGGGGGAGATCTCCGTGAATACCAGGTGAGGATTAGCCCTTCCCCAGCACTGGGAACCCCTCCTGGGACCCTCTTCTCTATGGTGGTGTGTCTGTCTTGTCTGTCCACAGTGTTGCCTTCCTTCCTTACATGGAGACTGTCTTTGAAGAAGTGTTCAAGCTGCTGGAGGTAAGTGGGCCGATGGGCTGGTGAGCAGGGTCAGAGGGCTCAGGTTGGCCCTGCACACAGCATGCACGTCCTGCCCCTCCTCATGCTGCAGTGCCCTCACCTGAACGTGCGGAAGGCAGCCCACGAGGCCCTGGGTCAGTTCTGCTGTGCGCTGCACAAAGCCTGTCAAAGCTGCCCCTCGGAATCCAACACTGCTGGTGAGAAGAGGAGGCTAGGGCCCCTGGAAACGGGGTGGGTGGGGAGGGGGCAGGGCCTGACCAGGGCTTCAGCCAATTGTGTCCCCAGCTCTGCAGGCCGCGCTGGCCCGGGTGGTGCCGTCCTACCTGCTGGCGGTGAACGGGGAGCGAGAGCGCCAGGTGGTGATGGCCGTGCTGGAGGCCCTGACGGCGATGTTGCGCAGCTGTGGCGGTCTGGCACTGCAGCCTCCAGGGCGGCTTGCTGAGCTTTGCCAGGCGCTCAAAGCTGTGCTGCAAAGGAAGGTGAGGAGGTGGCCCTGGGTGGGGCTGGTCAGAGACATCCCCCTCCTTCCACCCCATGGAGACGGGAAAGGGCTGGAGAGCCCAGACTGAGCTGGGCGCCCTTTCCCGCAGACAGCCTGTCAGGACACTGATGAGGAGGAGGAGGAGGAGGAGGAGGACCAGGTGAGCACTGCGGGTGCAAACGGGACCAGGTCATCTCCATGGGGCAGGCGGGACAGTGCGCTTGGCCTTGGCCTCAGGGTACAGAGGCTGCTCAGAGATTGCTAGTGGCTCTGAACAACCAACCCTGCTCCAGCTGAGGCAGTGGAGATTCAAGGAAGGCTTCCTGGCAGTGGGAATTTGGGGCAGGCTTGGATCAGTGGATGGGATTAGGAGAACCAGGAAGGAGGAAAGGCTGGGCTGCAAACCAACCTAGCTTGGGAGGGGCCCCCAGTCCTGTCAATCAAGGGCAGCCTTCAGGGCGACCACCTGCAGTTGGCACTATGGGAGCTGCTCCCAGGCTCAGAGCTGGCCCTGGTACTCCAGCCTCTGACTTGGCCCCACAGGCTGAATATGATGCCATGTTGCTGGAGCATGCCGGTGAGGCCATCCCTGCCCTGGCAGCTGCGGCCGGGGGAGACGCCTTTGCCCCCTTCTTTGCTGGCTTCCTGCCATTACTGCTCTGCAAGACGGTGAGTGCTGTTCTCTTGACTTCCAGCCCTGTTCCTCCCAGGCCCCAGTGCCCTCCTCCCCTGTCTGTCCCCGTCCCAGGCTGACTAGCACTCCTCCCCTCACCAGAAGCAGGGCTGCACAGTGGCAGAGAAGTCTTTTGCAGTGGGAACACTGGCAGAGTCCATTCAAGGCCTGGGTGCTGCATCGGCCCAGTTTGTGTCCCGGCTATTCCCCGTGCTGTTGAGTGCCTCCCGGGAGGCAGACCCCGAGGTACGAAGTAACGCTATCTTTGGACTGGGAGTGCTGGCAGAGCACGGGGGTCGCCCTGCCCAGGAGTATCCTCAGTTTGCAGGAGGGGCCCTGGATGCGGTTGGGAGCATGGCCCTGGGGTTAGGGAGGGGAGCGGTCTGCCCGTGTGCCTGTTCCTTGACTTTGGACCAGACACTTCCCCAAACTGCTGGGGCTCCTGCTGCCCCTCCTGGCGCGAGAACGCCATGATCGTGTCCATGACAACATCTGTGGGGCGCTTGCCCGCCTGCTGATGGCCAGTCCCACGAGGAAACCGGAGCCCCAGGTAAGGTTGGGGGGCACCAGGCAAGGCCAGGGAGCTGTGGAGCATGCGGGTCCAGGGGCCAAAGTCTTCCGTGTGTCCAGGTGCTGGCCCCGCTGCTGCACGCCCTGCCACTGAAGGAAGACCTGGAGGAATGGGTCACCATGGGGCATCTCTTCAGCTTCCTGTACCAGAGCAGCCCTGACCAGGTAACCCCGACACTGGGGCCCTTGCAGAGGGCTTGATGCTCTAGTCTCACTGATGGGCAGAGTTAGCGTCCGTTGAAGCTACTCTTCTCAGCTTTCTCATTAGTCTGCCAGGATTGGCAGCCAGGCCTTTAATGTGAGAGAAGGGGCTTCCTCTCACCATGTAGCATTTTTCCCCAGGAAGGCTTTGTTTCCACCCTCTGTTCTGAGCCAGAAATCCCAGCTTTCATAAACTGATTTCCTAGACCACAGCTCTTTCAGACTGTGCTCCATGAAGCCTGGTTCTGCTGGGTCACCCCACCTCCCATTTTAATCAGAGAGCTCTGCTTTCTGAATACAACTTGTCTGAACCAAGTGGCTAGCTCTGGAACCATGTCCCAGTGCTCCTGTGTCTATCACGTCTGTCTCGCACCTTCAGAGACTGTGTTGGTGGAGCTCCTGAGTGTCTGAGCTCCCTTTGGTTTTGAGGCCATGATTTCAGTTATCTGTGGTCACAATCCCATCCTCCCGCCACCCCCCTCCCCCTGCAAAATTACTACTACCCTGTTTCATGGGTCCTCAGGGTTCACAGTTGTTTGGGATGTCTGTTAATCAGTGTCAGGCTCAAACAGCTCAGGTGCGAGACTGCCTCTCTGGGGCTCCGCCTGCCCACCCCCGTGCTGGGGCCCAGAGGTTCTTCTGCCCCTTAGTCGGCCCATCTTTTCCCACAGGTTGTAGATGTGGCTCCAGAGCTCCTTCGTATTTATAGCCTCATCCTGGCCGAGAACAAGATCCCATCAGGTGAGGATGGCAGTTGTGGGTAGGGCTGGGGGGAGGCGGGGAGCAGCAGGGCTCGGAGGGCCTGGGGCAGCTAGGGTTGGGGGCCGGTCCTCTGCAGACATCTCCCTCTTCACTCTCCACCCAGACACCAAGGCGGCGCTGCTGCTTCTCCTCAAGTTCTTGGCCAAACAGCACACCGACAGCTTCCATTCAGCACTGGGCTCCCTGCCTGGCGACAAGGCTCAGGAGCTCCAGGCCATCCTGGGCCTCACCTAGACTGTGGGTTGCAACTGGGCTGGAGAGAACAGAGCTCGCCCAGGCCCAAGACCAGCTCTCAGCCCAGTTCCAGCTCAAGCCTTACCAAAGATTCTGGGCCTGGGCCTCATAGCCACTTGGAGTCCCAGCCCTATTTGCTGCCTTATGGGGATGTCCCCTAGGGCTGGAGCTGTGGGACAATACAGAGTTGTGACACCATTCTGTAATAAAGGCAGTTTATTTTCTGCTTAAACGGTAGCTCTAACAGCAGGAAGGACAGAGATACACGTTCAGAAGGACACAGTGTGATGTAGTTGGTTGCCTGGCAGCTTTGTAAACTGGCTCTTAAGTGTCGTGGAATCGGGGCCCTGGCTGGATCAGGAGGCGCCCATATGGCTCCTCTTGTTTGACACGAAGGATCTCCTGCGCAGCCATCTGGTCAGAGAAGTCCCTACCACAGCCTCTGGCCCGTGTGTCCGCTCCCCACCCTCCACATGGGCACACACGTTCCTCACTCACCCAGGAGCAGGTAGAAGACCCGGGCGGCCACCCTGCGGGGGCTGAGAGGTGGCACCAGGCTGTTGAAGTCAGGCTCCCTGTTGGCCTGCAGCTCCCGCACCACTGCCCTGGGGTCAAGAAGCAAGAACCATCAGGTGAGGCCGCAGCCCCGGCCACCCCCGGAGGAACGTCCTTCCTGGTACCTGTGCACAGCCTCCGGCGAGAGCAGCTCGGGCTCAGGGGGCAGCTCCACGGGCAGCTCCACAGGCACCTCAGGGAGCTCAGGCACCACAGGCAGCGCAGGGGCCTCTGGCTGCTCCGCCTCCACCCAGGGCCTAGAAGAACACACGAGTTGGACAGAGCAGGGGAGGAGGTGGCGGTGACAGCCCCATCCTCCTGCTTCCCCCTCCTGGCCAGGGCTGCAGGCCGGCTGCTGCTCACCAGCGCTCTTCTGGGGGCACGAGGCTGATGCGGGACTTCTCCTCCTCAGCTGCTTCTAGGGAGAGCTCTGTCAGGGAAAGGGGAGTGTCCTGAGCGGGTCTGTTTGCATCGGAACAGTCGGGATTTGGGGTCACCTGGCCCAACTGGGTGCCACAGCGGGCGGTGACTTGTTTACGGCACTTGGCAGGGAGGGGAATGAAGATAATCAGTCTGTGAGTCCTTATGTTAAATGCACTGACAAGGACTGTCAGCAGTTGGGGCTCCACTTTCCCAGGACAGAGGTTAGAGTGGTGGTCTCACTGCCCCTTCTCCAGGTACTTACCGGCAGATACCATGAGGGGCCCACTGGGCTCCAGAGCCTCCCTCAGGACCTGGGGAAGAGGGAGAACTAAGGCCACAAGCGTCACACCTGGGGCAGGGCTAAGGCAGGCCCTTTGGCTCATGTGGCAGAAGGCGGCCTGTGGGAGCTCAGAGCAGACGGGGCTCCAGGAAGGACTGAGGGGGCCGCTACCTCAATATCGCTTGGAGTCTCAGCCTTTCTTCTCTCCTCCTCAGCCGCTGCCTCCCTCTCAGCCTCTTCTAGCTCCTCAGGCAGCCTTCGCCTTACTGCCGTTGGAGGTGGCTGTGCACAGTGGGTCCAGAAAGCCAGCAGTTCTGGGGGTAGCCAGCCAGCTGCAGAGAGGGGCAGCAGGGAGGGGGTTGAGGTGTGAGGAATAGGGGTGTGGGGGGTACCCTACACCAGCTCCCACCACTCCTCACGGTAAGTCGGGTTTCGGAACAGCTCCGCGGGGCTCCTGATCATCCTCTCAGGAGGCTGCACCATTGGCTGTGTGCAGAGAAGGCCAGAAAACTGGTTAGGAAGGAGCCATGGCCCTTTACCTGTAATGCCTCATTCCAGGGCCTCTGGCCTTCCGGCTCTTCCAAGCTCGTGCACCTGCCTGCTCTGCTCATTGTTAAAATGATTTTCAACTGATGCCCTTGGATGTGCTAGGCAGGGTCACGAAGTGGTGTGTGGGCAGCTCCCCAAGCCATGCGTTTTGGGGACTGTTCTCAAGATTCCCCCAGGAGTTTAGATGGCCCAGCATGCACCTGTCTCCCTCCATCCCTCCAGAGACTGGGGTGTACTCACACACTCCCTGCAGTGGGCTCTGGTTTGCATTTGTTCCTGGAATTCCTTCCGGGAGATCTGAGTCTCCTCGTCCCAGAATAACAACTGGCGGCGGCGGCGACGAGCTGGTGGGCCCCTGGGAGGTGGGGCGACTGGGGGCCTCCTCAACTGAATGGGGAGGGGAGGTAGGGGCAAGGCTACCCATTACTCTCCTGACTGAGGTCCTGGTGGACTGTAAATAGGCCCCACACTCCCAATCCCTAGAGGTGCCCTGACGAAGGGCTTGAGTGGGGACTCGGGGTGCAGCCCCCACTGTATGAGGTTTCCATCTGGGAAGTGCAGGCTGGATAAAATGGGGTGTGGGCCAGGCTACCTTGTACAAATTTGCACAAAGGCCTGTGGAAGCCAGCAGGGGCCTTGAGGAAACTGAAAATGGGTGAGGAGCTCTGGCAGAGGAGGCGGTATGGAGGGGCACCACTCACCTCAGGGCTGACTGGGACGGGTGGCAGACGCAGCTCCAGCGGGGGTGTCACCTCTGCAACAACAGTCTAGGTCCACACCCTTTGACCTCAAAGCCACCCAGGTGAGAAGCTAGAGGGGTCCTCCCTTCAGCGAGTTGGATTACAGGGTGTTGCCTGCAGCAGCTGTGCCGGGACTCCCAGGAAGGACCCTGGTTTGGTGGGTACTCACCGGGAAGTGGGACCTCCGGCTCCCAGCCTACCAGCTTCAGCTCTTCTGGGGCCAGGACCCGGCTGGGAAGTGGCTCTGCTGCCTCCTCCACCCTGAGGGGAAATGGGCAAGAGGATGAAAACACCCTCCCAGCGCTGACCCCTACCTGGCCCGGGGCTCCTGGCCTTACCCTACAAGAGCTGCAGGTGAGGGCAGGGGTACTGTGATCTCCGCCTCCGGGGCCCAGGGCTCCTCTTTGAATTCTGTGAAGAGAGGATCAAGCTTAGAACACAGAAGAGATGTGAACATTGCCCGGCCCAGACAGCCAGTGCCCGGGGTCTGACCGTCTAGCGCCAGGTGGGTCCTACCTCGCCGACGTTCCTCTAATAAGATGGCTTCATCCTCCTCAGCAATCAGCAGCTCCAAGTCTCGGCGACTGACTTCTGGGAGTTCCCGTTCACCCTGTCAGGAGAGGTGCCCGTTTCTGTCTGAGACGTGCCACAGGACCAGGCCAGGCCAGGCTGAGGAAGCCTGTGGGTAGTCAGGCATTGGGGGACGGGGTAGAGAAACGGAGGCAAGAAGGTAGGACTCTAGGGGCAGAAGGAGCAGGTACAGGGGGCCTGGGCCATCAGACGCAGGACTCAGGCCTTGGGCTGTGTGCAGGGGAACAGCTCACCTCAATCCGCAGCATACGTATAGGCTCCGCCTCCTTGATCGTGATGGCTTCCGGGGTGACCCGAATCCTTTCTGGAGGGGGTGGGAAGTCACACAAGCCTCTGTTTCTTTTTTTTTTTTAAGCCTCTGTTTCTTTTCTTTTTTTTAAAAGCCTCTGTTTCTTTTCGAGTCTCCACACCCATGTGTGTAAGGCAAAAACAGACTCTAGAGTCAAGCCAACCTGGGTTCTAGTCAGGCCCTGGCCAGTCACTGGCAGTCTGACCCAGGATACATTGCTTAACCACTATGGGCTTCACTTTCCTCATCTGTAAAATGGGGATAATTCCAATCGTAAGAATCTTGTAAGTGCCCCTCCCAAGGCCTTGCTCCTGAAAGAAGCTCAAAAACAGTTATTTCTTCAGCCCTTGGGCGTTCCTCTGCCTCTCACCAGAAAGAAGGGTCTCTGCTTACCTGGCTTTGGAGGCTCTGCAGGGACTTCAGGAGGGATCTCTTCAGGAACTTTCTCTGGGGTCACGGCCTCTAAAAGGTGTCGAACCTTTGGGAAGGGATGGGAACAAAAGATCGGATTCAGCTTCAGTGCCCTGCTCCCCCACTTTCACAACCTTATTCAGACAATGAACAGTGACACCCCTTTATGCCTAATTCTGTGGCACTAACAGCAGCATGCAGGGTAAACCCACTCACCATCCAGCTCCCCTTCCTCCCATTCCTGCCCCAGCCTAATTATCTAGCCTGGGTCACTTTGTGAAAAAAGTACTGCATCCTTGGGTCAAGTGTTATCAGGGACAGAGGAAACAAAAGATCCTTGATCTTGAGTATATTGTCTAGTGGGGAGACAAGTTTGTGTATGACCCCAGCAAAAGCCAGCACAAAGAATGCTGTGCTGCTGAAACTAGCACAATATTGTAAATCAACTACACTTCAATAACATCCTTAAGCTGTAGGGGTGTTAGGAGTGGATGGACAAGGACATGGAAAATGCAGTGCCGAGGGACACTGAGGGCCTGGATTGGGGCCTCGGCTCTAGGAATGGTGTGAAGACAAAAGCTGCCTCTAGGTTGGTCCTGAATAGGTAAGTGCAGCAGGCTTGTCTGGATAGGTCCACCATGACGGCTGTGGGGCAGAACTGGAGCAGGCCCCCACCTGCCCCCCAGCCCTGGTGTTAGACTGGCACAGAAAGAACATGCCCCTCTGCGCTGTCAGCTCATCAGTCTGAGGTGTCCGAGGGGGAGGAGACCTACCTGAGGGATATCAAAGGGATCGGGCAGCATGGGAGCCACAGACATCATCCCAAAAAAGGGGTCTGGAGCATCTTCCAGAGTCTCCATCCTGGCCAGGTGGTCAGGCAGCAGCAGGCTGGGTCTGAGGGAGACAGTGGGCTGTCAAGGACTGAGGCCAAGTTCTCTTCCAAAGACCGGGTGGTCCCAGCCCCAGGGACGCACTTACAGCTCAGTCTCCACCATATCAATGCGGATCTGCAGCTGGGCACGGTGCAGGCGCTCCAGGATGTGCTGGATGTCTTCTGTGGTCAGGGAGGGCAAGCTACAGTGCCCGCCCAGGGGAGGAGCCCTCAGCACTGCCCTACATCCGAGCCTTCCAGCCTTACCTACAAGGTACTGGCATTGTTGAGAGTAGACCCGGATGACGCCAATCTGGAGCTGTGCCGAGAGGTAGAGCGAGAAGCGGGGCCGCGGCGCACCCGGCAGCGGAGGCTCAACTCGCACCAGCACGTAATTGAGGATTTCCTCGCTGGGGGAACAGCGCATCCCATCACCGCTGCACCAGAGACCTACAGCCTTGCCCAGCCCAATCCATCCCCTAACCCACCCCAGCCCTGGGCCACTCTTTGCTGGGCCCTACCAGGTCTTCACCACATTCACTTTCAGGTATTCGCGCTTCACCAACCGGGTGCCCCGCGTCGCTGCCAGCCTGGAAGAAGAATGAGGGGTGTCGCTGGAGGGGGAGCCCTCAGGCTGGGACCCCTGGCTGTCCATCCCGGAGCACCTACCCTGGCCGGGCCCGCCCTTACCAGATGGTGGCGAAGCAGCCGGTGTGGCGCTGAAGCACATTGGGATAATAGAACATGGTCCCTCCAGGGTTTCACCCTCGGCGACACCACTCCCGTTCAGATCTCAATCCAAGTTCTTCAGGGTACAGAGTTCCCCAAACCGTCGGAGAGAAGGATGTGGACAGGTGGCGAGGCAGGTGGACCCAGAATGCCAAATAAAGGAACCGATGAACTACGTACGGGTGGATAAATGATTAAGGGGATAAGTAAATGAAGACATAGACTGGATATACGTCAGCCCTGAGCCAGTCTGCACACCTCGTGGGAGCTTCGAACTTACGGGAGCCTTGCAGGTTGGGTTCCAGGTTGGAGATGCAAAGATTCGTGAAGGAAGAAGGTCCGAGCTGCAACCGAGGCCTGGTCCGAAGGAGAACGGGTGTTCTCTGCAGACAGGCCCGGCAGCTGACTGTTGCGCAGCTTCGGGCCGCTGCAGGGTCCCGCTCCTGCAGCCTAGATCCCGCCGCGGGGAGCGCGTGCTCTGGAGCTTTGCACTTTGCTCCTCATTAGATGGCGCGGTCTCCAGAGCAGCCAATGGGGAACAGGGTCAACTTGGGGGCGCTCGTTAGGGGCGCTAAGTTGCCTGGCCCGAGGCAACAGGGGGCTCCCGAGGCAGGCAGCAACCAATGGGACGAACCCTGCAGGCAGTGGGGGGAGGGTGGAGGGATTGTGAGGTGTCTGGACCAATGGGCTCTCATCCTCGCCCGGAGTACCTCGGGGGTGCTTCTCCATGGACCAATGAGTGGGGAGGAGACTCCGAGCACCGAGTCTGGCAACAAGGGTGCTTCAACTAGCCGAGAAGGTTGCGTCATGCCAAGGGCAATCGCCAGGCTCTGTGTAGGGCGCCTGCCTTGCAGTTAGACCTTACCCTTTTTCCGAATCCTACCGAGCAGCAAGTGGTTGGTCTGCTTTTGTGCCCACCCTAAGGCCTATGGTGAACGGGTGTGAGGTGGCCTTGGAGCCACCACAGGTCGATGGGGAAGAAAGATATCACAACAAGCAGTGAGGGGCTTGCCAAGTCACTTCCTAAACTTGAACATCTTAGGTTGTAGGCATTCCTCTCCTGACTGTTTCCCAGGTGTGAATGTTCTCCTGGCTGAGACCTTAGTTTTGTTGGATGTAGGGCATATTTATCAGCATAACAAAAGCTGTTTGTTTCAAACAACTGTTTGTGTAGTATAAATTGTATGGTTGTAGTTACAAATATTCCTTTCCCCATGCCTCCTGCCTTTGCACGGTCATTTCTTTGGTCTAGAGTGCATTTTCCAGCCTTGACTCCAGGGCATGCTTCTGTCTCTGACTCAGCTTTTCACACCATACACAAAAATAAACTCAAAATGGCTTAAAGACTTAAATAAGACATGACACCATAAAGCTCCTAGAAGAGAAGAGAGGGAAAACATTGTCAGACATAAACTGGAGCAATATTTTCTTAGATCAGTCTTCCAAGGCAAAAGAAACTAAACCCCCAAATAAACAAATGGAACCTAATGGAACTTAGAAGCTTCTGAACAGCAAAGGAAACCATAAACAAAAGGGAAAAAGCCTACAGAATGGGAAAAAATATTTGCAAACGATGTGACCAACACAGGCGTAATTTCCAAAGTATTCGAACAGCTCATACAACTCAGTATCAGAAAAACAAACAATCCAATAAAAAAACAGGCAAAAGGGGACTTCTCCCGTGGTCCAGTGGTCAGGGTACACTGTTCCATGCTTGGTCTGGAAAGATCCCACATGCTATGGAGCAACTAAGCCCATGTGCCACAACTACTGAGCCCATGGGCCACTACTGAGATGATGAGCCCTAGAACCCATGCTCCGCAACAAGAGAAGTCACTGCAATGAGAAGCCCATGCACTGCAAAGAGTAGCTCCCCACTCACTGCAACTAGAGAAAGCCTATTCACAGCAATAAGACCCAGCACAGCCAAAAATAAATAAAAATTTAAAAATATTTTTTAAATGGGCAGAAGATCTAAATACACATTTCTCTGAAGAAGATATACTGATGGCTAACAGGCACATGAAAATATGCTCAACATTATTAGAGAAATGCAAATCAAAACCACTGTGAAGTATCACCTTACATTGATCAGAATGGCCATAACTGAAGTCTACAAATAATAAGTGCTAGAAAGGGTGTAGAGTAAAGGGAACCCTCCTACATTATTGGTGGGAATGTAAATTGGTGCAGCCATAGTGGAAAACAGTATGGCGATTCCTTGAAAAACTAAAAATAGAGTTACCATATGATCCAGCAATCCCACTCCTGAGCATATTTCCAAAAAAGACAAAAAAAGTTTAATTTCAAAAGACACATACCCCAATGTTCATAGCATTATTTGCAATAGGCAAGACATGGAAGCAATCTAAGTGTCTATCAACAGATGAAGATGTGGGGTATATATACACACACACACACATATACAGTGGAATATTACTCAGCCATAAAAAAGAATGAAAATGCCTTTTGCAGCAACGTGGATGGACCTAGAAATTATCTAAGTGGAGTCAGAGAAATACAAATATTATATGATATCACTCATATGTGGAATCTAAAAAAGAATATAAATGAACTTCTTTACAAAACAGGAATAGACTCATAGACATAGAAAACAAACTATGGTTACCAAGGGGGAAGGGGAGGAAGGGATGAATTAGGCTTGTGGGATTAACAGATACACACCACTATATATAAAAGAAACAAGGACTTCCTGTATAGCAGAACTATATTCAGTGTCTTGCAATAATCTATAATGGAAAGAATCTGAAAAAAATGTACATAAATGAACCACTTTGTTTAGTACTTTTGAAACTAAAACAATAGTTAATCAACTGTAGTTCAATTAAAAAAAAACTCAGCACTTATTAGAGCCAAACCAACCCTATATTATTTTGTTCCTTCAATCCAGGAACTCTTTTTTTTTTCCTTCAGGATTGTACCAGTTTATTCTTACAACAGGCAGACGATGATGCTTCGTATTACAATCTCTCAAAATCTCACCAGTATTTCATGACACTAAACTTTAAAGCTTTTGCCAGTCTGATAGGCAGAAAATTAACCAACCAAACAAGAAACCACCACCACTAACAAAAAACAACATTATTGTATGTTACTTTTCCCTGATGACTAGTGACGTTTAAGTATATTTTAACAATGATTTATTAACCACTTGTACTTTTGTGATGGGACTACTCATACCTTCTGATTATTTTCCTCTTTGGTTGTCTTGTTTTCAATTGATTTGTAGGTGCTCCCTGTATATTAGGGATAGTAACTCCTCATATATACTACAAATACTTCCATTTTTGCTTTGTGTACAATATTTCTTTAGCCCTAACCTTAATATATTTCCAGAATAAATGAATGTTTGCTGTATTTATAAAATATGGACTAAAAATTCCTTAGAATATTAACTAGCAAAAGAACACTATATTCCAGAACAAAATTAAAATGAATACATCTGCACATATCTGGACAAAATGGCGAAGAGAGAACTCAAGTTAATCTGTTCTACAGTAAGCTGTCTGGAATATACTTATTCATATTTATACATTAATACAGAAATTTTCATATCAACATCTCATTTCTTAAGAACCTCTAAAAACAAACACATTAACAGATATAGAAAAACATGTATACAGTATTCCATAAATTCACATTCTAAAAACATAAATTCATATAACCAGAGTAAAATTTCTCATAGTTTTTCTATCAACAAACAAAGAAAATCTGCCTGGTATTTTAAAATAATTTCATGAAAACACCAACTGTTACAAATACTAAATCTGTATTAATTGTATCATATAATTTAAAGTATCTTTGGAAATTCATTACATATTCTTGATTCCATACCACTTAAATATGGTGATAAATACCTTCTCCCAATATGTAACTTATCTTTTCACCTTTTTTTTTTCTTCTTTTGGCCGTGCCATTTGGCTTGTGGGATGGGATCTTAGTTCTCTGACCACAGACTGAACTCAGGGCCTGGCAGTAACAGCACTGAGTCCAAATCAATGGACAGACAGGGAATTCCCAAATACGCTTTTTCCCCTTTTCATTTTCTTTAAGGTACCTAATAAAGATAAATTCTTAATTTTAAAATAGTAGAATTTTACCAGTCTTTATAATTAGTCTAATGTCTTAAGAAATCCTTTCTTATGCCAATATTCTTTCTTTACACAGTTGAGGGTAGAAACATGGGAATGTTCTCCATTTGTTTCTCTTCCCAAGGTTCTTTTTATATGTTTCTCTCCTTGAATGAGACTTTCCTTTTTTCATTACACAAACACAGAAGTAAAAATCTCAAAGGATAACTGAAGTTAGCTAGCAACTAATATGATGACCAGAATTGAATTCTTCTTCCCTCTTATAATTCCAAGGCATAGCAGAACAGTATCAGAGAATTGAAATATGAAGGCAGAATTATGTGAATACTGGTTATGCTTCCCAGCAGCCATAGTAAACTATTCTTATTTTGAACTAGTGCCAAAGTAAAGATAGACTTTAAAATATCTTTAAGAATAAAACTTAACCAAAGTTAACAGAGCTGTAATGCATTAGATTCTTCATAGAAATCTAGCTACTACTGTTTCATAGTTTAATAATAAATATGTTACCTGTGCTCGTTTTTCCATATCCTGGCAAGTACCTAGTTGTTCTTCCATTGCAACTCTGATTTGCCTTGCCTCGTATTCCAACTGCCTTCTGGTCATATCTGTTTGTAAGGAAAACTAAAACCACAAATAAAATGGAAATGTTAATATCTTGTGTTTATCAGTAAAAATAAAAAAGCATATAAGTATCCATAAAGAAAATGAATAAACAAATACGTAAGTTATCATAAGAAAATTATTTTTCACTCTAAGAAGTCCTAAAACTTGATCATCAGTGCTAGGCTCAGCCTGGCTTTCTGATGTGAAGTGAAGAGTTGAAACACTTTTATTGCCCCACAGTCACAGTTTTAATTAAATTGTACTAGCTCTTTAAAATATATATATTTATCCAGTTAAGGTAAACCTATTTTCAGTTACCTTACAATTCTTTTGCCCTGAAGAAGCACTACTTTGAATTGCTAAAAATTAGAATATTAATGTGTACAAAATAGAAAAATCAAGAATTAGGTCCATCATCCTTAAGTTTATACCTCACTTCAGGATTCTTATGTACATGTAGACTAAATGGAGAGAACTTTCCCACATGTAAAATAAAGAAGATAGAATAAAGAAAAGCTTTTATATAATATAATAATAAATTGCAAGATAACACAAACTTTTTGGTAAAAATATAAATATGAACCAAAGTTGAAACAAACCAAAAAAAGTACTTCTTCATGGAGTGGTGTTAGTACATTCAAAACTTTATTAGCCCTCTAACTACAATTCCAGATGCTGTGGTAACTGCTAGGTATAAAAAATGAAGAAAAGGAGAGGGCAAAGAAACTTACAAAGACATGCTCCAAGGCTAAAAGAACAGCTGGACAAAATTCCTGCGCCTGCGGCTCCCCCCGGCAGCGGCCGGGCTTCCGGCGGCCACACCCCGCCCCCGCGCTACTCGGCCCCCAGGAGCTCTTAAGATTGGGGTCTTGTTTTTTTCCTTTAGTGCCTGAAACTTGGCAAATATTTGTCAAATGAATGTACAATTGCCCTAAATTTACCACCACTGAATATTAAGGCTGAATGGGATTTCAAAATCTAGTCCAAGACTTGTCTTCATGGTGAGAAAACAGAGGCCCATACAGGCTGTTTCTGCCAGACCACACAGCTCTGTGGTGGCAGCCTGGTTGGGAGTTCTACTCTTTTGAATTCCAGTGTTCTCAATCCTTCCATGGTGCTTGGCTAAACTGGTTTCTACATGATACTTACAAATTGTTTGGATCATATATTGCCAGTGTTCCTAAGGGTTCACACTGGGGCACAAATATGATAAAGTTGGGGGCATCTGCCCTTAAGGCACTTATAACCTAGTTTAAGAGATAAGGGATACAGTAATTTGTTCATTTAACAAATATTCATGTATCAGGCAGTCCTCCAGGCACTGGGGGTGTAGCAATGAACAAAGTAAGTCCCTGTTCTCAAGGAATAGGGAAGGAGTGATGATAATCAAATAAACAAATAGAAATGTATGAGGTCATAATCTGTGCTATGAAGAAAAATGAGGCCACATAAGAGAACAGAGTAGTGAGGGGTGCTATTTGAGTCAGGTGCTCAGGGAAGCTCTCCGAAGAAAAGGGGGCAAGTCAATGTGCTTACCTGAAAGAAGAGTGTTTTAGACAAAACAACAACAACAACAACAAAAATACAACTTAGCAAGTGCAGAGGTCCTGAGGCAGAAATGTGTTTGGCGGGTTCAAGGAGCCTAGAGCAAAGTGACTAAGGAGAAGAATGGCAAGGGGTGAGGTTAAAAAGGTGGCAAGGAGTCACATCGCCTTGGAGGCCAAGGAAAGGATTTGGGCTCTTCCCTGAGTGAACAGAAAACTATTGGAGGGCCTTGAGCAGAGGAGTGACATGATGAGATTTATGTGTTAAGAGGATCTCTTCGGTGTTGAGAATGGACTGAAGGTGAACAAGAGTGGGAGCAGAAAAGATGTGGAAGGAAGCGGAAAGAAGAGGTGTGGGAGAAAAAGCAGAGGCCAGATTATGAGAGATTCTGAAAGGGATGCTAGAACCTGCTGATGGGTTGGAGGTGGGGTATGACGGAACAGGAAGTAAAGGGCCTGTGCACCTGCGCACTCAGCACCCGACTTCCTCACTGCCTATGCAGGTGCCCGTCTCAGGAGGGACAAGGAAGGTCCAAGGAGGCAGGAAGGCTCCAGAGCAGCGCTGATGTGTCAGGTGAGACAGTAAGGACTTCCTCAAGAAGCCAGACATCTATCTAGACTTAACAATGTAGCTGAACCCTTCAAAGCTTATATAAGTGACATGACAGGAAGGAGCTGGTTTGGGAGGTTCCTTCTCTGCCCATTTGGTGTCCTGTATGGGAAGGGGGGAAGCCGGAGGCTATGGCAGTTGGGTAAGTGGTGAACTAGTTTGGTGAAGGTGAATGTCCAGAGAGGTAGGAGGACCAGTGGCCTTGGAAAGAACTTCCAATTTGGGGGCAAGATAAACACGAGGTAAGGGAGAGAGGTGGATTTGGGCCCCTGGGATCCCCGCAAATAGAGTGCGGCTGACGTGGCAGTCTAGGTTAGGTTGTCTGTCGTGGGGCTCAGACAGAGTAAGGAGACCAGCGTGGGAGCAGCTTTCAGTTAGGGTGGCAGTGCCCCAAACACTGGGAGAAGAGGCACCAGGACACGATCTGCCGTGGGCACAGGAGGCTCTGCCCCTCGTCCCTCTGGTGTCCTCCTGTGCCAGGCCCCAGAGCCTCGAGCTCGTGGTTTCAGGTCTGTTCATTGAGACTTCCAGATAGGAGTTCAACCCTGGGCTGGATCAGAGGCCTCTAGCCACGGGTTGTGGACACTGGATTTTGCCATGAGAGAAGGTGGCTCAGTGCCCTTCTTGGTGGCTGACCCCAACCCTCCCTCCAGTCATGGTTGCCCAGAGGATACAGAGAGCTGGGCCCAGAACCCACAGAGCCTGGCAACTCCCTCGCCAGAACCTGTGGGTGGGTGAGGGGAGAGGGGCCCAGAGACACCAGCAGGAAGACAGCCTGGGAACCCCGCTCTCAGGTGACATCTCCATCATCTCCCTGTGATCCTGCTGCCTTCTCTCAATGAATCCGATGCGGAGTCCTTTTTCAGTAACATTTTATTTTAAATCCTTAGTGAAGATCTAAGACGAAAATATAAAGTGCCAGGTTTTAGGGTTGGGGGCGGAGGGAAAGGCCCACTGAGTTCATACCATTTGGACTTGCCCTGTTCAGCTCCTCGGACATGAAAGAGGGTATATCTCAAAATTGAAAAAAAAAAAGTCACTCTTGAGTTCCCCACCAATCGGTGTCCATGAGGAGTTGAGGGACAAAGTCATCACAGACCACCAATGAGAACAGTCACTGTGGGAGGCAGGTCGACAGCAAGGAGGCTGAGGCTGTCTCAAAGAAGACCGGCGGGATAGAGAGGAGAGGAGGCAGCGGGTCCTGCAGGCTCTGCAGCAGAGACAGGGTGGCCGCCTGCTCCTCTGGGGTCTCCTTCAGCATACGCCGGGCAAAGGCCTGCTCCATCTGTGCGGAGAGGTGGGAGAGGGGTCGGTGAGCACCACAGGGCCGGATGCTATGCCCTGGGGCTTCTTCCCCAGGATGCCCTTCTCTGAAATATACCTCCCCTGTGCAGGCAGGCTCTGCTGACTCACCTGCACCGCAATCAGACTCTGTGAGGTGTGGCTGGGGTCAGGGTTCTCCTCCCAGAAATTCAGTGTCACCTGAAACTTGGGTGGGGGCCCCAGGCCCTGGAAATACCTGGCCAAGTCTGAGAGAAAAAAGGCCAGGAGTTGGAAGAAAGAGAAGACAGAAGGCCCCAGGCAGGGAGGGACGAAGGAGGAACCCATAAGGGAGGAAGAGGGGTGGCAATGGGGCCACTCGGAGACCAAGGCTAGAGCAGGAGCCAGGGGTGGTGAGACTGCTCTCTTGTGCTAGGAACTAAACTGCTACTCACCTGAGGACAGAGGGAAAGGGGCCCCCTTTAGGGGTAGCCGAGCGTCACACACCCTGAAACCTCTCTGCTGGGGGAGCTCAGAGTCTGCTTGGCAGCAGTCCTGGCTGCTAACACAGCCATGCCACACCTTGGTTGCCTGATCACTCCCTTCCACACTCACTCTCTGCATCCCCTATATTCCTGGCCCCAGTCCCAAGGTCCAGTTGAGAGCTGAATGGAGGCAGGAAGTGGAATTCTCAGCATGGTTGGGAGAGGAGGAACCCGAAGGCAGCCCGAGAACATGTGACATGCGCAGCTCACACAAGTGTGTGGATGGTCATTGTGCGAGTGTGTCTGGCAGGGACGGGGGTGTGGTGCAAAGTGCACCTTCTTGTAATTACTGTATGCTTCCATGTGGTGGCGCTCCTGAGATGCGCTATTATGGTGCTGGGCTCCACCTGGGCCTTATCTTCTGTGGTCTTGGCCCAGGAAGGGGGGCTGCCAGGGCTGAGCCCTGGGATGTGCACCACACAAGTGCAGGGCCCAGGCCTGGATTGTGCTGGGGGATTGACTAGAGGGAGCGCAGGGTAATGGCCGGCCCAGAGGCGGGGAGCGGGGGTGGGGGAAGGGGCTCAGGTGCTTGGCTGTTGCAGCCTCACCTCTGCAGAAGTAGCTGGTTCTGAAGAGTTCCACGCACTCGTTGCTGGGCAGCAGGTGCGGGCCCGGGCCAGGTGGCATCCGGGGCGCGTTCCAGGAGATGGGGATGGGGCAGAGGCGCTGCACAAAGAGGCCCCGGGAGTTGCTGGCCAGCAGGACCCCTCTCTGGAGCTGGCTCAGCAGGCGCTGCGCGGGCTCGCGTGGGCCGGGTTTGGGAAATATCACCTGCTCCATGCTGCACTGGGAGCTTGAGGGCTCAGCCAGGAGGCGGCAGTCCAGGCTCTGCACCTGGGCCTCACCCACCACACGCCCGTTGTAGATGAAGGTGAGCAGCAGCGAGTAGTCTGCAGACAGAGAAAGGCCAGCTGCCCCAGTGCCCTCCCGGGGCCCCACTGACTGGCAGGAAGTTTTGGAGAAATGGAGAGGGACGCCTTGCAAACTCAACATCCTCATTTTGCTGGTGAGGAACGTGGAGCTCACAGAGACAGACCAAAGGAGGGCTGGTGAGCACCAGGCAGGCTGCGAGGGCAGCAGCTGTGCCTTCTGAGGACAGAGAAGACCTTGCCTTTCCTATCCTCACCCCCCGACCCTCAGCAGCCGGGGGGTCTTCCACTCATGCTTTCCAAGCCCTTATCTGTGTGTGTGCTCAGTCGTTGTCTGACTCTTTGCAACCCCATGGACTGTAGCCTTCCAGGCTCCTCTGTCCACGGGATTTTCTAGGCAAGAATACTGGAGCAGGTTGCCATTTTCTTCTGCAGGGCCTCTTCCCAATCCAGGGATCAAACCCAGGCCTCCTGCATTGCAGGCAGATTCTTTACCACTACACCATGGGAATTCCCTGGCTCCTAGCACTCAGGAGAGAAGCTAATACATAGGTTTCCACTGAGGCCTTAATGCCCAGGGTCTTACAGTTTACAAGAGGGTCCCAGAGACCGGGCCTCTACTTAACCCACAGAATCAACATCTCAAAGTGGATTTCCAGGGAAGAGAATGTGTAGGGAGTATTTTTGAGAAGTGAGCTGTGTCTGGAGTCTGGAATCTGGCAGGCATGCTGCCTAGAAACCAGTGCCTCTGGGTCAGGGACCCTGCTGCAAGCCCTGACAGATTAGATAACACATGCATGGCCTTAGGACAAAGAAGGGGGACAAGGGCAGGGGCGAGTCAGAAACGCCAAGTACCTGAATCTGGAGGGGGCAGAAGCTCCAGGGACAGCAATTCTCCCTGGAAAAGAGCCTCAGCTGTGTCCCTACCTGGAAGGGAGGCAGAGGTACTGGTCATTCAGAGTGGACCGGGGAGTCCAAGGGCCAGAGGGTATGGTGTGGAGGATGATGCAAGAGGCAGGACCCTTGGTACCTTCCTGAGGCTCAGGGCTGCTGCTGCTGCTGCTGCTTCCACTGCTCCCAAAGTCTACACGGCCAGCTCCCCCGTTGGTCTCCACCATCTCCTGCAGACACAGTTCCTGTGGTTGGCCCACTTCGCCCCCAGTCACAGCTCTGCCCTCAGACCCATCCGGTTCCCTCCCCAGCTCTCACATTCTGAGGGGGCTCCTGGAGCAAGGAGGGGCTGAGTATGCAGTTCTTTGCGGTAATCTCTTCCTCTTTCTTCTCAGAGGAGGCAGAACTGTGGGGTCGCTTTGATGGTAATTTCTGGGTCCCTGATTGAGCTGTGGAACGTTGAGAGGGAGGCAAATGTCAGAGCCTTAAGTGGGCACAGAAGGAAGGAGGAAGACAGGAGGCAGTGAAAGGATGGGCAGGACTGGGCAGGGAACCTTCTTCCCAAGGACAGGGGCCTGGAGGGAGGCCCACCATGCTCCCGGGAGGTGCAGAACTCCATCCTTCCCCCCACACTCCACCCCCGGCTGCTGATTTTAGGAGTGGTGGGGCAGAGGGACACCCACCGGGGACAGTTCCTGGTGGTAGCAGCCGGTACACCTTGTAGGGCTCAGCGCCATCCCTATGGCCGATCTCAGGAACCTCCTCAAATTCACAACTTTTGTTGAGAGCACAGCGCAAACGAGTCTTCCAGATGGCAGGGCCTTCCGAGCTCCCCTCCCTGTACTTCCCCTTGTATATTGCCCAGGCCTAGAAGACAGCAGCAGTGAAGAGATCGCTGGCAATGGACCATTGACCCGGCTGGCTTCATGGATGTACAGCCCGAGCGCTCGCATAGAAGGGCTTGTGCTAGGTTTATGCTCAGCTGTTTCCATGCTGAGTTTTGCCTTTTCATCTTGCATTTGGCTAGTCCTACTCTCCAATCTCCCCTTTATTTGTCACCCTACAGGATGACAGTGCCAGTGTGTGCTCCATCCCTCCCTCCGAGAGGCCAGTTTCCAGGCCTTTCACCTTGAAGAAGGCAGCATCCTGGTCCTCCCGGAAGTCCTGCTTGCCTGCGTGCTTCCAGGGAATCCGGAACATGGTCTTGGCTGCATCCTCCCAGCACACTCCTGGGAACTGCCCACTCTCCACTTGCTCCACCACCCAGTTCCGGAGCTTTCGGGTGCAGCGTGTCCTGCCTGATGCCATCCTAGGGATAAGAGCAACAGAAGTGTCAGGGGAACTGACACTTTGGGAAGAGTGAGACCCCGGCCCTTGGGGTTGGCTTCTGGCCAGGGCCCCCGGAGATCCCATTTATATTTTGTCTCCAGATATATCTCAAAATTCTGAGGTTGAATTGTTTCATTTCTGCCATCACCAGCAAGTATCAAAAATACTTTCTTTTTAACATCCCAAGCTGTCTGGAGGGAAATCCTAGGCATTGGTCTTGATATTTTTCAGGAATCTCCTGTTTGGAAGAGAATTCCCCTGGTGTCCTGCTCCAGGTGAGATGTCTTGTCTAAATCCCCAGTGTTTACAGTAGCTGCTTCTGAGATGTCTCATCAACCCTCTTCACCCACCACCCTCACAAACTCCAAGGAAGTTTGATGTTCCCCAAACTTCCTCTGTGCTTGCCCCAGGAGCAGGTGGGGTAGGGAGCTGGGGGCTGGGGCAGAGCTGCGGCGGAAGTGGGCAGGGCCAGAAGGCAAGGAAACAAGCAGGAGATGGGGCAATCTTCTTCCCCAAACAGCCCCATAGCAGGTCCTCCTGTCCTTGGCCTGTAGGGATTGGGACACTGGCCCCTGATCAGTCTTTCACTCAGGCCAAACTTCTAGCTCCCTGGCTCACAGGCCTTCTGTCTATTCCTCAATCTAGCAGAGGGGTCTGCAGAAGCCCCTACCCACCACCTCCAGTCTGGCCAGGGCTTTCCAAACCGAGGCCCAAGCTGATACCCATTTTTGGTTAATCTTACCTGAGCTGCTGTGCAGGCAGTCCCAGGGCTCAGCGGACCTCAGCTCAGCTCAGCTCAGCTCCCAGCTGGGCAGCTTCTGTATCTCTCCGCCCCTTCCTACAGTCCCCACCCTAAGTTTCAGTTCTCCTCCAGGGAGGGCCTTTTCCCTGAAATCACGTGGTCTCTGAGTTGCAGGGCAACTGGTTACCACCAGGGGGAAGCAGCATCTGAGAACCTTATCTTTGGAATCCTGCTGTCAGAATGTGGAGGAGGGCCTCTCCTGCTTCAGGCTCCTTCCCTTTCCTCCCTTAACATTCCCCTTGCTTGTATCTGACGTCTGTGACACTGCTGCTTCCCCTGGGAGGCTGCAGTGTACTGGAGTCTTGCCTGGGGCCTCTGGATAGCTCTGTACCACTTGCCCATCTATATTCCCCCCATGGTGCCTGCTTGGTACCTACTAGGTGACCCCAGATATCAGCTGAATTCAATGAAAGAAAGAAAGGAGGCAGGGAAGGAAGAAGCTCAGGCCAGGTGGCTGGATGGGGAGGGTTGCCCTTGTCTACCAACAAGTTTTAACAAAGCTCTCTTCACCCCATTCCCCTTTCCCTGGTGCCCCCAGATGGTTGGGTCAGGAAGGAAGAAGGACTACCAAGAAGCCTGGGCAAGGAAATGCCTCTTTATTGGTGCTGGAGTTGTTCCTGTGGGAGACGAACCACAGGCCCCTCTTTGGGACCCTCGCCCTCAGCTACTTCCTCCTGCGGGGGATACTCTGTCCCAAGGGAACCTCTTCTATCAGCTTCTGCAGAAAGAGAGAGAAGACAATGATGCTAGAAGCCTGGGACTCAGACACAGGCTGGAAAGGGGACTCCTAGAGAGTGGGGTCAGAGGCAAGGCTGGCGGGGAGGCTTTACCTGTAACAAGCGGGCGTGGTAGGTGGGGATGTCCTCCCCAGGCAGTGCCTGGGGGCGCCTGTGCAGGTAGCGCTCAGCAGCTGTCATCAGCTCCTCCGTTTCATACAGGGTGGCTGGGTCCAGTGAATGGGCGTTGATGAGGCTCACAAGATACTCTTTGTAGTGCGCCCTGGGGAGATGAGAGGGTAGAACATTTGTTCTGTTTGGCTGATTTTAACTGAGTGTGCTGAGCACCGTGCTGGGCACTAGCGTACTCGGAAGAACCAGATGGACGCCCCTTGCCTGTTGCTCTTGTAGGCACTTGCCAACCTGTGTGTGCTGCCTGCTGGGCCCCTGCCTGGAGGGCCCCCTCCCTCCTACTTCTCACAGGACCCACTACTCCCAGAGGCCCACTTCTCTGCCCAGGCACATCTCCAGTTCTCCTGTCCCTCATAACACCAAGCTCTATGCCCCGCCTGGCACTCACTGGCAGAGGCCAGCATAACCAGCGGGAGTCTCCTTGCCACAGGCTTCGTCCCGGAACCCGTTGGGAACTTCCTTCTGCTCCATCACTCGACAGCCACCTAGGGGTAAGGGAAGGAAGGGATCCTTTGTCTGGAGGAGGCCACTGACCACAAAGGCCCAGGAGAATGTGGGAGGTGGCCTCTAGGAACAGGACTGAGGACAGGAGTCCCTGCTCTAAGTGGGACGGGGGAGGTGTTGGGAAAAAGAATCCACTATGCAGACCACTTGTGATACAGAAGCAGGGACCAGGCTGTCTTTGCGTTTAGCTAAGCTCTTACAAGGTTAGCTTATTCTGTGATGGTCTTACTCTATGTAGATGGTAAGAAGTGGGATAGATTAGAATCACATGCAACATCTTTTCTCTTGTCCTCACAGAACCTAAAACAGTGCAACTAGTAAGTCTCATTAAATAGCCATTGAGTTAATTAATGAATTACTATCCTTTGGGAATGGGAGAATAAAATGAGCATCAAGGTTCCAGGCGCTTGAACGTGTCCTTACATAAAACAGCTGGGCTGTAAGTTGGACACAACCCCTGCTTCACAGAGGAAGAAACAAGCCTGGGGAGGCTGACCCACCAAATGGCACAACAAGCAGGCACAGGACGGGCTCTGCATCCTGGTTCAACCCCAGACCCAAGCCTCCCCTCCAGCCATCACACAGCGGGAGCCCAGCCCCTCCCTGGCCTCCTCCCGGGCCTGTCCCGACACTCACCTCCAGGCACTGCCCGGGCCCCCGCTGGGGGTTCTGTGTTGAACATGACATTATTGTCCTGAGGGCAGAAGGACAGGAGTTAGTTTCCCTGGATGCCAACCTGCTGATTTTTCTGCGTCCGACCTTTCCCTTCCTGCCACCCTACATCCTGCCTCCTCTCCTGGGCAGCTGGCAAACCAGTCAAGTTGGCCACCTGACCTGAAGTAGCTTTTGGAGCCGGACAGCAGGCCAGTCCCGCAGGTAGAAGAGGCAATCTCGGGGGTGGTGGCCGTGCAGGGACTTCTTCACCCTGCAGTCAGGGTCTGGACATTTCTGGTGGAAACCCAGATGGGAGAGGGGCAGTTGGAAACTGTTGGGGTCCTGGCCTCTCAGGAACCCCTGCATGAGGGGTCTAGGGGTGGGGGAGATGGAGACATTGGAGGGTCTGGAGCAAGCAGAAGTGGGGAGGGGACAGAGAGAGGTGCTTTACCTCACCCCCTACTGGTCTCCTCTTCCCCTGGGCTGTTCCTCCACAGCCTCCGCCCCTCACTCCTCATGGGAGCCCCCACCCTGCTACCCCTTCCATCCCAGTCCTGGGGGCTCACATTCTTGGCGTAAAAGGCATTGTAGCAGCCACTGCAGAACTGGTGGCGGCACTGGGTGCAGTGAAAGTGCATGCAGCCTCCTCGGGCCAGTGCGTACGAGAACTTGCACTTGGGGCAGTCTGCAAGGGTCAGTGGGTCAGGGTTGGGGCTGCTCCTCAGGCCCCAGGAAGAGAGTGTCATTCTACGCAATGAGAGATTACTGGGCACCTTACCTATGCCGTTTTCCTGAAGGTACATCGCCAAGCCCTGGGCTTGGTATTCTGGGTCATTGGTGCGTTTCCAGTTCTGGAAATCTTCACAGCTCCGGCCTCGGTGCTGTTCCTCCCACTGCCAGAAGGAAGCAAGCTTCCCATGAAAGCTCCACGCCAGGACCTTTTTGCTGGCCACCCCACTCAGATCCAGTGGCCCCTGACTCAGTATACTGCTATCCACCATGTGCTCCAACACCAAACTGAAGGGCCAGCCTTGGTTCTCTCATCTCTTCACACCTGACACATTCACCAGCAAGTCTCGTTGCTGTCACTCCAGCCCAGCTCCCCTTTTCTTTATCTCTACTCTGAACAGCTTCACTCCAGGCCAGGCCAGCTCTCGCCTTGGTTACTTGCCTTGATGACCAGTCTCTCTGCCTCCATTCCTGCTTCCCTGTGGTTCAGCCTCCTCCCAGCAGCCAGTGTGCCTTTGAATGCATAAATCAGGCAGCTTCAACTGCACTGGGAGTGTTCTAGCTTGGAAGTTTGGAGGTAGGGTGGCAGGTGTTCACTTTACTATTGTGTTTCATAAGACAGATGCAGACTTTTGGTATCAAATATTTAAGTTTTTTTTTAATGAAGAATAAACAATCAGTTTTATTGGGCTCACTCAGACTAGGAATCCATTCAAATATTCAAAATTTTAAAGGTAAATGAGAGCGCATAACCCCTTGTCCAGTTTTAGAATGAAAGGACCTGAGACTTCCCTGGTGGGCCAGTGCTTAAGACTCCACACCTCCACCACAGAGGGCGCAGGTTTGATCCCTAACTGGGGGACTAAGATCTTACATGACCCATGGGACAGCCCAAACAGAGAAGGAAAGGCCCATCCCCTCCTCGCTCGGCCTCATCATGACCTCTCCTGATCCGGCAGCCAGCTCCTCTCGGACCACCTGCCACTCTTGCCCTTGCTCTCGAGGCTCCAGCCATACAATGCATTTTTGGACTTTGGCCTTCCCGTGTTTTTTTCTTTCTCTCTCAAATACTTTTTGCATAGTTGACTTCTTAATTTTCAGGCCTGAGCTTAAATTAAGCCATTTCATTTATTTCTAAATATTTATTTATTTTTGGTTTTGATGGGTCTTAGTTGTGGCAAGCTATTGGGGCTCTAGTTGTGGGACATAGGCTCAGATGCCTCAAAGCATGTGGGATCTTAGTCCTCCGACCAGGGATTGAACCCCTGATTGCAGGGCAGATTCTTAACCACGGGACCACCAGGGAAGTTTCTAAATCAAGCCATTTTAGAGAAGACTTATCTAACCTCTTTTCCCATGTACCAGGTAGGTCCACTCTGTTATTTCTGACCTCAGATTCCTATTTGTTTTCTTCATAGAACACATGGTGATGTATATACTTCTGTTCTCTCTCCCTTCCTCAACCTTGCCGCCTCCCTCCCTTGCTAGTCTGTAAGCTCTTTGAGACCAGAGAGCTTGTCAGTTCTGTTCTGGAGCAAACCCCAAGTCTAACACAGCACCTGCAGGGGCTCAGGAGGTACTCCAAAAGCTTAGATGTGCCTCACCTGGCGCTTACAGCGCACACAGAAGGTCTGGTGACACTGGGGACATGTTGCTTCCAGCTGCTCACGCTCATATATGAAGCCAAAGGAGCACTGTGGGTGCAAGAGCATATATCTGTCTAAGGCTTCACCACGTGCTACTCACCACCCCTCCTTCCGGTCAGCAACTCTGGGCAGCCCACTGACCTGGGCGCACCACAAAAACTTGGGGTCCCGCATGAGCACGCCCTCAGTCAGCTTCTTGTGGAACAGTGCATAGGCATCTGGCTCTAGGCTCTCTCGAAGCTGGGGACAGGATGAGAAAGTAGAGGGTGGGCAAGGCTCCTGCTCAAAGCCCAGGGCATCCTGAGTCCGAGGGACTGCCCTACCTGGATGTCGAGGGTGGAGAAGTAGCTGAGCAGCTGTGTGTCATCGGTGAGGTCGGGGCGGCCACAGGCAGGGCACACCATATCTGTGATGTGCTTCTCCTTCAAGGCGATGGTGAAGTGCTGG